AAGTTTATTTACTTTCTATTTCCATGAGCAGGATATAGAAACATGTGAGGTCCTTATTAACATGTTGAGCTCATATATATTAAAATTCAGCTTAAGATAATATACAGATTCTCATATTTCAAAATACTCATATTTCATGATGGTGAAGCTGCCAGTTTGTCCTAAATTGCACCATTTTGATTTTCCTTACCTTGTTGAAGATACAGATGTAGTTGATGAGTCATATATAAAGCATGTTTATTTTCTGCCCTAAATATTAAAATTCTATTTTCTAATGCAGATGTTGAATTAGAAGAAGCTATTAGAAGAAGTCTTGAGGAAATGTAAATAAAGATACTACCACACAACATCAAGTGGCCTTGAAGAGACTCAGAATAATGAATTCTTGAGTTTGTTTTCTAAAGGAGACCAGAAATCTAGTATAAATGTATATGAAACATGCTTTTTTTTTTGCTTTTATATGTTAAAAAAATCTGATGTTTACTTTGTATTTTTATGCTACTTGGCAAAAATAAAAATGTAAAGAGAAGTAGAATACATGTTAATGCAAATATGAATCATGTATTCTAAGATTCCAGTTAACTTTGAATTCATACATTTAGGTTAAAAGAACTTAAAAAACATATAAAAGCTCTTGACAATTGTTTGTTTCCCAAATAGTGTTAGTTCTTTGTTTTATTTGCACTGTAGAGATGCTTCTGGTTTATTTTTTCAGGAGTGAAAATAAATATAAATAAAGCCATCTTAACTCATTTATTCTGTAAATTCTACTTATGTGGCAGTAAAATATACCATTGATATTTTGGAAGAGAGTAATGGAATCTTATCATGAAAACATTAAAAATTATATCAGCAATGGTTCTTTATGTTCTTTAGAGTAGCACGTTGCTGGAATTAAAAAAATAATAAAACCTCTAATTTCTTTAAAGAAAAACTTTTTCATCCCTTTTACCTGTTTAGACTTTTATGTGATTTGTATTATCTACTGTTTAAAAGGAATGTCAGAATATTTGCAGAGAGTTAAACATATTTTTAACAAATCCTTTTTATATATATTTGTGTATATAATTCTTTAAAAAACAATGTTAAAGGTCCACTCAGGAATAATCTTCCTTAACCCTTTAAAGTTTTTATTTCACATAAGGGTATCTTCATTAGTTATTCACTAAGTTGTCTTGTTTCCTACATTTGTTTTTACATATTTAATTTTTTAAATGTTGGCTCCATTGTGTACAATAAAAAATATTACGTAATTAGAAGACTGAGGGCTTGTCATACTATCTTTGTGTATGTGCTTCATGTTATTTGCCCTGAAAAGTCATCTCTAAAACTTTTGAGTACTAATTACTTACCAAATAATATTTTCTATAATTTTAAGACAAAAAAAAATCATGAATAAAATATTGTTCTCTGCAACTATTTTAGTGTGAAATAGCATTACCATTTTTTTAAATTACTATAGTCTTTTCAAACACAAAATTGGAAACCAATTTGTGTTTTTATTCTTAAAATGTCAATTCTATCCTACCTGCTTGCATTTTTTTAAAGAATATTGTAGCTGGAGAATTTAACAGTCATTTTTAAAAAATGACCACATTGTACTTTTAATTTTTTTTTAAAGATTTATTTATTTATTTATACAAGCGCTGGTTACAGTCATAAGCAAGGGAAGGTGAGAGAATTCACCAGAGCCAGAGTGGGGAGCAGAGCAGGCAGAAGGACCGAAGTATACTGCTGAGGGGAGCATTGGGCAGCAGGAGAGATCTGCGCGCCATGTGGGACCCTCCTCCGGTGGCCTGGGAGCAGCCAGGGAACGAACTGGCGCTGCAGAGGCTGCGGGCAGCCTCTCAACCCATCGCTCAACCACTGCGCCACCGGGGAGGCCCTTTTAATTTTTTAAATTTTTTTTTTTAAGATTTATTTTTATTTATGCAAGAACTGGGGTGCAGGCCAGAGGTATGAGAGGGTGAGGGGATTCACCAGAGACAGAGTGGGGAGCAGAACAGGCAGGTGAGACAGGAAAGGTCTGCCATGCCATGTGGGTACTCCCTGGCCGTCTCGGAATCGAACCCATGCTGCAGAGGCTGTGGACAGCTTCACAGCGCTGCACTCAACCCACTGCACCACGGGGGAGGCCCTGTACTTTCTCATTTTTATGTTAAAGCCGTCAGGCAAGAGTTAGAAGGTAGTCACAGAGCCAAACCTTAGATATCTGCAGGGGCTTGTTCATTAATGCGGAGCAGAAAGGACAGTCCATAAAGAAGAGTGCTTAAAACATATGGAAAAGAGGATAAACACCACTTTGTGTTACCACAATCATGACATATGCTGATGCTCTATTAAGAAGCTTTTGTGGTGTTGAGAGTGAGTGAAGGTTTTCATATGACAGGAAAGGGATATTTCATCATGATCCTTAAGAAAATAATTTGGGGGCCTCCCTGGTGGCACAGCAGGTTGAGTGCAGCGCTGTGAAGCTGTCTGCAGCCTCTGCAGTGCCGGTTCAATTCCCAGCTGGCCAGGGAGATACCCACATGGCAGGGTAGACCTCTCCTGCCTCACCTGCTGCTCCCCTCTGCAGTGTTTTTCAGTCTGCCTGTTCTGCTCCCCACTCTCTCTCACCGTTTCCCCCTATCCCACACCTCTGGCTTGTACCCTAGTTCTTGCATGCATAAATAAATAAATATTAAAAAAATAATTTGGGTTAATGTTTTAATTGTCATTGATTGTATTTCTACTTGTTAAGCAATTAAAAATCATTTTAAAATTTCATCATTTGAAACTAATTCAGATAGAAGGACGAATTGTAGTCATTGGATGGCATTACAGAAAGTTATGATTACCTAAAGTAAATGCTCTTAACATCGACAAAGATGGTTATCTCTTCATTACATCATTAATCACTCACAAAATATTGAGTAGTAACCATTTGCCAGTGACTAGTCTTACTAGTCTTTGAGCAAAACAAAGCCCACAATAAATGGAGTACACATTAGAAGAGAGGGCTTTGTACAGAGTGGTAGTGAGCAAGTATAGTTAATGGTGATACAAGTGTTGGGGAGAGAGGGTCCTAATTTTAATAGGCTGGTTAGATCAGGTCCGGGTGAACTTGAGCAAAGACCTGAAGAAATTGAGGGAGTATGCCATGTGAGTATGTATGGGAAAATAATTACAAGTGGAGGGTGATTAAGGTCCAGAAGTAAGCTTGAAGTATTCATTCAAAAACAAGAAGTCTACTATGGTGGAGTGGGATGAGCTAGGAGAGTAGAAGATGAAGTCCTTGAGGAAATTAAGAGCCATTGAAGGTTTCTGAGAATGACTGCTATGATCTACCTTATTTAAAAGGACTACTGTAATTACTGTATTGAGAGGCATGGGAGACAAAAAAAAAAAAACCAGGAAGGCCCTATAGGGTATTGCAGAATTAATGGTGAGTTGGACCAGAGTGGTAGAATCTGGTTTTATTCTGGAGGTAGAGTTGACAGGATTTCCTTCTGGATTGGATCTAGGATACAAGAGAAAAAGAGTCTTGGATGGCTCTAAAATAACTAGATAGGCTCTCAGCCCCTCACAAAATGTCTTCAAATTTCAAGACAGGATATGACAAAATAAGGAGGTCAAATAATCCCCAATGCCAATAGTTTATTAGTATTTAGACTGCGTTCATAGAGAACTCAGGCTTAAGGGCGTGATCTATTCAAAATATTTAAATGTCTTTGATATCATATTAAAGGTTATGATTCAACTTTATTATTATCATTTGATGTGAACTGCAAAAGAGGCATATTGTTATGATGAGATGGAAGCAAAGCACAACTTTTAATGTCGGTAAGTCTTTATATCCCAGTCCTTTTACTTACTGACCTTTTATAGTGAATAAGCTAGTGACCTACTACATCTTTACATTTTTTTTTTTTAAGATTCATTTATGCATACAAGAGCTGGGGTACTGGACAGATTGGGGGGGGGGGTGAAAGGGTTCACCAGAGACAGAGTGGGGAACAGAACAGGCAGACTGAGTGAAATACCCTGCTGAGGGGAGCGGAGGGCAAGACAGGAGAAGTCTGCTGCGCCACGTGGACTGCTCCCTGGCCCGCCAGGGATCGAACTCTGCTGCAGAGGCTTCTGAATCGCTTCATAGTGCAGTGCTTAATCCCTTGCTCCACCAGGGAGGCCCCTACATCTTTACATTCTTAACAGATTTGTTAATTGGGCATGAAATGGCCTTAATACCAATTATTTCACCCAAGTTCCAACAAATTTTTTTTAATAATCAAAAAAGGCCATTACAGATCCCTTCATTACAATCGTGGAAAGGAAGCGAATTCATCTTGCTTCCCACACGTAGGTTAGAAAGATGGGGTCGCTCTTTTTATTTCCCTCTAGCTTTTAAAGTGGCTTTATCCGGGTGTTCATCCTTATCTCCGGAAAGTAGTTAACAGGACAGGCCCAGCGAGTGTAGCCTGCCTAGGAGTTGGATTCAAAGCCATCTGTACACAAAGGACCCTTTCTCCCCATATCTGAGGGCTACTTTTTGTTTTTGCTGTGAATTGTGGGTGCTGGGAGCATCTCAGCGAAGCCACCGCCGAGAAATACGCCCTCAGCCTCCTGCGCCCTCCGCGAGCGGGGAGAGTCGGGCCTCCTCCGGCTTGGGGGCGTGGCGGCCGGGTCTCCGCGGGAGTTTCGGTCGAGTCCGGCTCGGGAGAGCTGACGGCTCCAGGGGGCGCGTTCGGGCGCCCCCTCCCCCCGCCCTCCGGCTCCCGCCGGGCTCCGCTTCCCCGCCCCGGGGCCCTGCCGGCGCGTCCTCTGGCCGCGGCGACCAACGAGCCCCCTCCGGCAGCCGCGGCGGCCGCCCACCCCCCCGACCCGGAGGCCCCGGCACCCGCACACCGGCGGGCGCGCCTGCCCTTGTTTGGCCACGCGGCGGCCACCGCGCCGCGCGTCTCCCGGGCCGCCCCCCGCGGGCGTCAGAGGGAGGCGGGCGCCCCGCGCGGTGACGGCGACGCCTGCGGCCGCGGGGGCTCTTCACTCGCCAACGCCCGGGAGGCCGGTGACCTCTTGGCCGCCCGCCTCGGAGGCTCAGATGGCTCAGGCGAAAATAAACGCGAAAGCCAACGAGGGGCGCTTCTGCCGCTCCTCCTCCATGGCCGACCGCTCCAGCCGCCTGCTGGAGAGCCTGGACCAGCTGGAGCTCAGGTGAGGCCGCGCGGCGGGCCGGCGGGGACCGTCCCGGGCGGGCTGCGGCGAGGGAGGCGCTCGCTTGACATTGGTTTTCGGTGGGGAAGGGGCAGTTTCGTCGGTTTCTCGGAGTCTGTCCCTCGCCTGGGCTGAGGAAAGCCGCCTTCAGCGGAGCGGAAGCGGCGAGCGTGTGCCCGGCGGTCACGTTCTCGCCAGACGCGCGCCGGGGAGCGGAGGGCGCCGATGAGGGGAGACGAAACTTAGGGTGACTTATTTTAGCTCAGGGGCTGTGGCACTCGGGTCTCCAGAACTTCCGGAGGCTTCTCTGCAGCGGTGTGTAATCTCCCCAAATGCTTTTAAGGTGTTGTCTTCCTATGATGCATTTTCGAGAAGGGCAGCAGGTCAGTGGTCCCCGATGTGAAGGATCAGTTTCTTTATTCCAAACACTTGTTAGACACCCCGAAATCCGCCTGATAGCAGGGATAGAGAGGACTGGGGCCACTGCGGGGCCACGCCGTGGATGGTGGCTGGAGGACTTGAAGGAATAAACACTGCAGCTTCTCCGTCTCTTTTAACTCCGTATTTTACTCAGCCATTCTGTTAACTCTTCTTCCAGAAAAAACGCTGTGACACATGCTCGAAAGTGCTAGTCACCGGCCTGAAAGGGTTGGACAGTCACAGTTTTACCCTGTTTAAGATTTTATTACATAGGTAATTAATGGTAGGCTTCTCTCTAGAATTTCGAAATAACTTCTAAGTTTTGGAAACACTTTTTTAACACTGGGCTGAACTTTTATGTACTTGTACATATTTCTCACTCAGGTCACTGTGCAGGTGTAGTCAAGCCCCCTCCTCTCCCCCCTACCTCCCACCCCCCTCGACCTCCCCTCCCCCCCACTACACAGAATTTTGTCCCATAATTTTCACTTGGCCTGGGTAAGCAAAGCGGTATGTGAGGCAAAAATTTTAAGAAGCACTGAATGTATGTCTTTTTCTCTCTTGATTAACATACTAAAGCATGTCCTTCAGTATATGTTAGTAGTTGAGGCAATTGTTAATTATTATTATATTACTACTCTGAGAAAAGAGTCAGAAAGTAAGGATTCTCCCACAGTAATTTCATGGATGGCAACAGCTAGAAACCTAAACCACAACCGCATCTGGGGTTCTCAGATTGAGACAAATGGAACAAGAGAAAAGTAATTCTTCCTCGGGGTTGAACTGGACACATTGAACCCTCAGAAAGAGTGAAGCAAACCTAGGTCTCAGTGGCCTCAACTGCTTACTGCTCCTCTGAGGAATACTTCTTTTTATGGAGCCGGGTCACAAGCAATTCAGACATCTCCCCAGGCCTTTCAGAAGTTGATGCCATACTCACCATTTTGGATCTCTCTCAAGTCTGAAAGAGGTGATTTTTTTCTTAAAGGAATGAAGAAAAGGTTGCCCCTCCTTCCTTCAAGCTGAGTCATTGTCCTCAAATTTGAGTTAGTGCCTCAGAGTGTGTAAGATGCAAAGACAGAGAGAGCCTGGGGTTCTGGGTACTACTCTGTTCTCATGTTTGATTAATGTAAAGTGAAATCTGATTTCTGTATACTGATCAAAATACAACTTACTTAATTAACCCTTAAGCTGAGGAGAACTGATGTGTCTAGTTGTTCACATTAAGGACTTTTTTAGTAATTTTAGACTTTTGTAAACTGCTTTTTCCTTAAAAAAAAAAAAAATGGAATACTGACTAGAAACTAAGAAAATGCTATTGCTGATCCATTTGAAACCACATGGGCAAGGTCACAGAGAACTACACTGTCAAAGACCACAATCATGTCTAGAACTGCAACACTTTAAAGAAAATGTGATATTTGGGCCTCCCTGGTGGCACAAGGGGGTTAAGTCTCTTCACTGTGAAGCTATCAGCAGCCCCTGCTGACCCACATGACACAGCAAACCTCTCCTGACTTGCTCCCTGCTCCCTCAGCAGTTGATTTCAGTCAGTCTGTCTGTTCTGTTCCCCGCTCTGTCTCCGGTGAGTCCTCTCACACCAAATCCCCACCTCTGGCCTGTACCCCAGGTCTTGTATGCATAAAAAAATAAAATAAATCTTTAAAAAAATTGTAAAAATAAAATGTGATTTTCATGCATAATTTTGCTCTAATAGTTGAATTTCGTATTAAGGAAGATGGACAGTGCAGTGTGTTAGGTAGAGTAAAGCATTTCGACTTGTACTGAAGCAGCTACACTAGTTTATCCATTGTGTTAGAAACTTCTAAATGACAGTAAGAGCAGAATTATGCTAAATGCTTTAGGACCTAGAATATGAACTGGTGTACATGATGTTTAAAATGCTTTGAATGTCTGGCAGCATATTACAAATTGTTAAAGATTCCTTTTGTTTTTAATACTTCACCATGACACTAGCCTTTCTGTTTCAGTCTCCTTTATTGTTTCTCCCTAAAAAAGTTATTCCTTTTTTGTACCATGACTAATTCTAAATAGAGTCTGATATTTGCATTTGTCAGTGGCTGACCACACCTCGCTGATTAATAATTGCTACTTTTAAACAGTTATCATAATTTATAAATAAGATGCTAACATTTGTTCATTTAATAAGCACTGCATATAATATGCAAGGCCCAGCCTTTGTGGAAATGACTATTATCTTCAATGTCCAGGGAAATTGATACTTAGAAAATTGATACTTAGGAAGTGAAATGACTTATCAAAGGTCACAAAACTAGAGAATAATGGACTCCATACTTAAACCTGAACTGAACCCAGGAAGACTGGTTGTAGAGTCTAATACTTTGTCTGACTTTTCAAAATGTATGAATAATACAAAAATAAATATATGAGTTTACAGGAAGATGAACATTCTACTGAAATTGGCTTTTAATTCAGTAAACATTGAGCAGTATTTAATGGCTCCCAGAAGTCTCTGAATGGTCATCAAGCTGTTGGTACTTGGATTGTGGAGAATAGCATAAGAATGAACAAGACAGGACTAGGAGATTAGCTGCTGGCAAATTTCCCCAAACTGATCATACTGTGGCTCCCTTCCCTTTCTATCAACCATTTATGGTGGTTTACACCGCAGCCAGGGAAAATGAAGATTGGGGCAGGGGGTGATATGATTCGTTAGTCTGGCAGAAAGTTTCTTGTTGCTTAAAGTTTCTTAGGGTGTGTCCGAGTCCCAGGTGTCACAAAACAAGATAGTATCTTGGTTAATATTGTACAACAACTATAATTTAAAGGAACACTTCTTATGTACATTGTTATTTGAACCTTATAATACCCTTTAAGGTAGGAGGAGGACACCTATTATATCTTGTAGAATGAGGGAGCTGGAGTTCAGAGGAAGTGAGCGGCTTGCCTAAGGCCGTATTACTGATGGGTTACTCTTAACGCTAAAATCACCAGTCCCATTTTTACACTACTGAGACAGTCTCAGTAGTAAATGTAATTTAGTATTTTGGTTAGGAAAATCCTTCAGAATCTTACATTGCATAAAATATAAGTGATCATTATAACCTTTTGTTACAGGAATATTACATAGGAGATGGGACTGTGATGATAAGAACCTCTTTAGAAATTACTTCTTTCAAGTAAATTCATAATGGGACTGTGCCATTTCATTTTTATAAAAGTACAAATTCTTGTCATTTATAATAAGCCTTCATAATAGTAAGTATGTAATAAATACCATAAAGCTTATGTTTCTCAGCATCAGTTCTAGGCACATTACACATCTAAGCTCGTTTATAAGTTTTTAGTCAATGCTTTCAGTCACTGTTAATCTCTTTACCTGATTTACTTCATCCCTTTACAAAACTATCTCATTGTCTCTGTTTCCTTGGTGAGAAAATTGAGGTAAAGAGTTTAAGTAACTACTCAAGGTCACACAGATAGTGGCAGCACTGGCTCAAACAGTTGGACTGAAGAGCCATTGCAGTTTTCACTGCATACTGTATTTAGCTGACGAGTCAGTAGTAATCACAGTCTGGTGAAATCACTGTTGTGTCTCTCCTTAAGTGTCTCTCCTTAAGTGTCCCAACAGTTTTTCCTTTTGATACTAGGCTGTGGAGACTAGTCAGGTGCTGCAGACCTGAGGACTAACTAGCTAAGGATGTGTAAGCTTCAGTTTTCCCCTCAGATAAATATTCTAACTAATTTTTTTTTGGTTAAACCCTGCCTAGTTGTGATTTCATGCAGAGTTTTCCCAGCACACAGTCCAAGCCAGCCGTTATTGTGAGGATAAGTCCTTTCCCAATTTGGATATGTAGCTGCTTCCAGGATCTCTTAGTAAAAACAGAACTACCCCTCTCTGCCAAGAGAATTATTGTCAAATGATGTGTTAAGAATCTTGAAGGGTACAGTGAGATGGTCCAACACTTATCTAACCAGAGTTACAGAAGGGAATAATGGAATGGGCGACAGGGCAACTTTGAAGACAGTTCTAGAACTTTCTAGAATTAACAGAAAGGTTGTAGACAAAAGATTGTATATGAGTTGAGTGTTAAGGATACCAATAAACTGCTAAATAGCATAAGTACTGTTTTAACTAGAGATCTAGGTTCAGCTTTTATTTATTTTTTTGAAGATTTATTTATTTATGCAAATAAGAACTGGGGTACAGGCCAGAGATGCGGGGGGTGAGAGGATTCACCAGAGACAGAGTGGGGAATAGAACAGGCAGACTGACTGAAATACACTGCTGAGGGGAGAGGCGGGCATGACAGGAGAGGTCTGCCGGGCCATGTGGGTTATTTTTCCCTGGCGGGCCAGGGATTGAACTCGTGCTGCAGAGGCTGTGGACAGCTTCATAGTTCTGTGCTTAACCCCTTGCACCTCCAGGGATGCCCTAGGTTCAATTAAAAGGAAAAATTAAAAATATGGTATGATCTATTCACTTGACAGATTCGCAATGCCGAGTTATCTGTCACCTCACGTGAGAGAAAAGGGGACGTTGTGAAGGAAACAAATCCTATCCAGAGGATTGGGTTTTGAAAAAGAATCACCCAGTAGGCAAAGGTCAAGGATTAAAAAATATTTCAGGAAGAGTGAGTGGCAAATGGCCCCATGATGACAAAAAATACCTTGGAATCCTTACATTCTGAAGAATGCATTTAATCTTTGCTATGAGGTGAAATAATGTAACATAAAAATGTATATAAAAATTTCTGTAAAAGATAATTTCTGTTTTTCACAGGGAAAATGCCAACGCAATTTGTTGCCTTGTAGAAAAATCAAACATAAAAGTTCCAGCTAAGTTTCTCTATATTTGGTTTCATTTAATGACAAAATATCTCCATTATATGATGGGTTATTATATTTTTTTCAATGTCTCCTTTTAATCGATTTTCTTGTTACCAGCTTCATAAACTTACTATTGTAACATTGTTGTAAATGAAACCTTCTTTTAAAGAAAATATTCAGTTCTCTATTGTCTCACATTTGAATATAAACTTAAGAATATTGAAAAATTAATCTCTTCTTTCAGCATCTTATTTACCAGTCACGTGATTAATCTATGTCATTTAAGTATTAGAATTATGGTTTGTGTTTTTAATATAAGTATTTCATATTAGTGCCAACTCAATCTCTTTCATATGTATTGGGCCCTAGTTTATGCGAGAGTCTGCTAGTGTAAAATGTGTATTTATAAAATGAGTGGTGTTGATGCCGATGTTATTTTAGACAATATTGGTTTTGATTGTGTCTTCCAGTCCAATTTGTCACGTAAGAGTCTTGCCAGCTCTTGCTTTTGACTAGCTCTTTAAACACAGAGTGTAATAGATATTTAGTATCTTGATGAATAAAGAGACTGTGTGACATTACAGTCTATCAGTGCTATTTTGGAGTACAACAGGTGGGTGATTGATGTGGAAAAGGCAGATGTGTGGTTTGGGTGAGGACAGGGGATCCATATATGGGCACATGCTAAAGTATTGGTCACATTGTTCTTTCTGTGCCCAGATTCAGCAAGCAGGATCAGATCTTCCGTGATCTTGTGTTTCTGAGACTATCTGAATACTGAGGATAGGTCTATCACTATTATTTTGTAAAAGTTGGCAACTTAGTAAAAGGAAGGGCCCTGAAAATAGAGCACTGTAAATGTACAGCACTTTTTCCCTCTTGCTCTCAGGATTCCATAGCCTAGTTCTTTGTGCTGGGCGTGTTCATGTTTACGTGTCCTAAGTGGGCATGGGTGTGGAAAATAATGCTTCTATAGTTTAATTAGTACTTTATACCAAATACCTACTGCACACTCCTTTTAAATTTGGAGTTGAGTTTAATAATGCTTAACTAAAGAACAAGGGGACTTCAGTATAAAGAAAAACAAAAGGTAATCGGATTGGAAAGCAAGAGATTAAAAACAATGATGAGCAATCTAGAAGAACCAACAGAATCAAAAGACAAAGCATTAAAAAGAACAAGTCTAAATCAAGGTTGCCAGATATAAGATGAATCTACAAAAGCAGTCTTTCTCTAACCAGCAAAAACTAACTAGAAAATGAAGTTAAAAAGTATTATTCCCCTAAAGCAACTTGCAAAAGAGGAACAAGACCCAAGTTTAGATCAAGGAAGGAGACAGTAAAAATAAGAGCAGAAATAAATGAAATGGAGATCAAAAAGACTATATAAAAAATGGGTGAAAGTAAGAGTTGGTTTTTCAAGAAGATAAACAAAGTAGACAAACTTCTAGCTAGACTAAATAAAGGAGAAAACATTAATAAACAATCACAAGTGAGAGGAAAAGTCACCACAGATAGCACAAAAATACAAAGACTCTCAAGAGATTACTATAAACAACTACATAGTAATAAATTCAATAACATTGAAAAAATGGACAGATTTTCTAGATTATAGTTTACCAGAACCAAGTCAGGAAGAAACAGATAAATTGAACAAACCAATCACAAGCATGGAAATTGCATCCCCAATAGAAAAAGCCCAGGACCAGGCAGCTTTACAAATGAATTTTATTAAACCTTCAAAGAATTTATACTCATCTTGCTCAAATTGTTTTTGAAAACAAAGAGGGATTGCTACTTAATGCATTTTACTTTGTCAATATTATCCTAATCCTATAGCACAAGGGAAAACAGAACAACTATGGAATAAGATCCCTGATGAATGTCAGTGCAAAAATCTTTAACAAAATATTAGCAAATTGAATTCAACAGTACATCACAAAATGATTGCTCTATGATCTGAGGGAAAAATGAGGGCAGGATAAGTGAATTAAAAGGAATCAAAAAGTGCAAGAACAAAAAATTGAAATAATTTGTTTTTATTGGGGTAAACTTGATTTACATATCTGTATGTTTTAAAAGTACAGGCTCACACTTGTTCAAATGTATGTTATCACACCACACCTACCACCAAAATACCAATAACTTCCCACCCACAGTCCTTTGGGCCCCCTCCACCTTTTGATCCTACCCACCCACTGACTCACCTCTGGTGACCTCAATTCTGCAGTCAGAACCCAAGGGTTTGCTTTGGTTTTGTCTTTTTCTTTACCTTGTTTCTCTGTATTCCACATAATGAGTGAAATTAATCAGAATTTTTCTCCTTCTGACATTTCACTTAGCATAATCTCCTCAAGTACATCCATGTTGTCACAAATGGCAAGATTTTGTCTTTTTTGGTAGCTGAATAGTATTCCATTTTGAATATATCCCACAGTTTGTTTATCCACTCATCTGCTGATGGGCACTTAGTATCTTGGCTATTGTATATAGTGCTCCAGTGAGCATAAGGGTGCATATATATTTTTGGTTTTTTTAAAAGATGTATTTATTTATGCATATATTTTTGAATTAGTGATTTTCCTTTCTTCAGATAAATGCCCAGAAGTAAAATTGTTGGATAATATGGTAGATCTATTTTGAATTTTTGAGGACCCACCATACCATTTTCACATAGGCTGCGCCAACTTATATTCCACCAAGTGTACAAGCATCCCTTTTCCTCCATACCCTTGCCAACACCTGCTGTTTCTGGTCTTTTCAATGTGCATGGAAAGCCGTATCTCATTGTGGTTTTGATTTGCATTTCCCTGATAAGTGATGATGAGTATGTTTTCATGTGCTTTTTAGCTATCTTTATGTCTTAAAAGAAGTGATTTTTATTCCTATTTTGTTCCTAAATGAGTTTTAAATCTGAGTTGTATTGAACATTAGAGAGATGAGAAAACTAATCTTCCATATAGTAACTATTTTGTTTTCCCAATTTATATAGGGTTGAAGCTTTGAGAGAAGCAGCAACTGCTGTTGAGCAAGAGAAAGAAATCCTCCTGGAAATGATCCACAGTATCCAAAATAGCCAGGACATGAGGCAGATCAGTGACGGTGAGAGGCATTTTAACAGAAGGGGGCTCTTCTTTTAGGGGTTTATAAATGTGAGTCAATTTTTGCTTGACTTGTGATATGAATATCCAAGGCTTCAGCATTTAATCTGAGCAGCAGACATCAGCTGCAGCTGTTAGTTTATTACAAAAGCCACTTTACCCAGAGAGATCTTCCAGTTATTCCGGACTCCAAGACCATGGCTAGACGTAATTTTTTAAAAAAGACTTGCAAGCTCAAGAAGAGTTGGCCCCAAGCAATAAGGCCATAAATTTGATCTCAGGTTCATACTCCTAATTTCAGTCTTTCAGAAGTTACTGGATTATAGGAGATGTAAGAGTAGAGGAAAAACATGAGAGATTGAATGCAGAGAAGACAAAAGGAAATGAATTGAGCAGTGAGAACAAAGCAAATTATGAAACTCCTAAACCTTATATATGTAAAATAGTGCTATCATTTTCACATGAAAAGCATAACTGCCATGGAGGAACTTCTGATTTTCTTGCACTGGCACTGAGCTTCCAAATTTGGCTCTTTTGGTGCTTTACAGAACAAGTCAGTGTGCCAGGTAGCTGATGTGGTTAAGTGTGCAGTCAAACTCCAGACGAAAACTCTTACATATATATAACAGGATCATCATCTAGTCATTCTCTTCTCCATCCTGACCAGAGATCAACAAATTAGGAGGAACGTTACATAACAGGATAAACAGAAGATTGCTGTCTTTTAAATAAAAACAGTTAACTGTTAACTCATCAGTTAATCTTATGTTATAGTATTAACTTTCACCTTTAAAAAAATTCATATCAGAGTTGCTTATAGAAAATAGGTTTAGTCACAAAGCCTTGTGCTCTTGACATGGATAAAGTTGATGTCTCATATTAATTGATATTTCAAACTTTATGTTTAGGAGAAAGAGAAGAATTAAATCTGACAGCAAACCGACTGATGGGACGAACTCTCACTGTTGAAGTTTCAGTAGAAACAATTAGAAACCCCCAGCAGCAAGAATCCCTAAAGCATGCCACCAGGATAATTGATGAGGTGGTCAATAAGTTTCTGGATGATTTGGAAAACGCCAAGAGTCATTTAATGTCTTTGTATAGTGCATGTTCATCTGAGGTGCCACCCGGGCCAGTTGATCAGAAGTTTCAATCCATAGTCATTGGCTGTGCTCTTGAAGATCAGAAGAAAATTAAGAGAAGATTAGAGACTCTGCTTAGAAACATTGAAAACTCTGACAAGGCCATTAAGTTGTTAGAGCATTCTAAAGGAGCTGGTTCCAAAACTCTGCAACAAAATGCTGAAAGCAGACTTAATTAATGTTCAAACTTAAAAGCACTAACATATGATATAAAAATGATTAAATATTTTAAATAACTAGGTCTTTGTTAGGAACAATCACTCATTTGATACTGAAAGTTGATTCAGATATGGAAAATACTTGAGTCCTCAATTTTGTTAATAATACAGTTCAAATTAGAAATATTTTAATTATCTTTCTAGAAGTTTTTAGATTGAATTCTTGTCTTGTACTAGGATCTAGCACCTAATATATCTATTTTTTTTACTATTCTGTGGGTACTTAGTATATGGGGGAGGGGGGAATAAGTGTTCACCTAGGGGTAGAAGCATCACTGTTCCATCGTGGACTTTGTCTGGCATGGAGATGCATGGGCATGGGGGCATTTGGTGAACTAGAAATTCTTTACCTTAAGCAGCACACGTACAACACATCTACTGTTCGTTAACCAGGTAATGTGCTTAGTGTTACAAAGAATCACAAAGTAAGAATCTTTCTTTACAGCTTCTCTTTCATCCAGCATTTTTTTAGGCATCCATATCAAATTATTTTGAAATTTGAGACTTACACATCTCATAATACGAAATGTATTTCTTGAAATACATGAAAAAGTGACATAAAATGTGAGAAAATTCACCTCTAGTTTTAACCACTGTGAACAATTATATGTCCATTTCATGTTGTCCCAAGTGCATTGTTTCTTTAAAATTTTAATCATTACAGATAAAGTGTTGTAACTTGCCTTTTAAAAAATGCTGCTATAAGATCTGCTTATTAGTTAATCTCTATTCTGAGTGGTTGTACCATAAATTACCCATTTCCTTTCCTGGATATTCAGGTTGTCTCCATTTTGTTGTTATTGCAACATATTTATGTACAGAGATTTTCCTTCTTTTGTTTTTTATTTGCTTTGTATAAATTCCCGGCAGTGGGATTCACAAGGTTAAAGGGTTATCTACATTTCCATGGCCTGACAAATTTTCAAAAATTTTTCTGTAAGTTACATTGATTTATACTTCTTCAGTAATTAAAATGTAGTTATTTCACTAAAAGCTTTCCAGCATTTTTCATCTAACATTAGATATGAAACATGGGTTTTATTTTGTTTATTAACAAGGTTGACCAGTGTACTGATTATGCATTGTGGTAAATGAAGTAACATAGAATACTTGTTTGTTCAAAGTCAAGCTCCAGATTGGTTTTATGTATTTATATCTCTCAGTGCAAACAATACAGAGCCTCATTTTCTGGACAAAAATGCCAAATTAGTGTCTCTTCATAAAAAGCAATTACAATCTTAGGACATTCATGTTAGCTTTGATTGCCAGCTCTAAGTCTGACTCATTTAAATGTTTCCATTTCATGAGAAACACTAATTCTCACTGGTAGCTATGGCAAAGTCTCTGGATTTGTCAGCAGGCTGTAATTTGCTATCAGGTTCAATGTCAGATAAAGATTTTCTTTTGTGCTTTTTTATCAGCTTTTTGAAAATTAAGAAACAGACAATCAAGTGCTCAGGAAGTGTCAGCGTCTGTAAATCCCTTTCACTCTGGAAAATACTCCCACATCAGTACAGGACTATTTCTACCACACACTATTCCAGCTTTGCCTCCCCAACCTCTGTATACTTTGCCTTCCATTTTTTACACTGGGGTTTTATTATAGGCCCACCCAGTCAGAGATATAAAAGAGCTATGACCTGGCAGCTCCAAGCTGCTTCAGCCCCTGGTCTGCAGCCCTCTATCTGCAGCATGAGTCACATTCAAGGGTGTAGGATGTTCACCATATTGTTAAGAGTATATTATCATTTATTAGAATGGAATCTATTCTTACAAAATTCCCGAGACCATTTTTATCTTCATGTTTTAAAATTATCTTTTATAAAGATAATAGGTTTGACTGTAAGTTCATTTAAAATATTTTGTTTAGCTTGGTATATTCCCTATCAGCCCTATCCTAATTCCATTCTATTCCTAGGATGTAACAGAATTTTAGGCAGCCCTTCTCCATCCCTCATGATACTGCTTCTCAGTAGTGTTCCTATCCCCACTTGACTCTCAGGGAGGGAGGATGTAGCCATCAGGACCTCAGAACTGATGAAAGATCACTCACTATTTATCAATGGAACCAGGACAATGCTGTCTAGTTAAAAAAACACTGAAGAATTGATCCTCCTCATATTTTAGTTTCAGAACCCCTGACATTAAAAAAAAAAAAAAAATCCCTAAAGGTTTCAACAGGACGGGGAAGGTAGGTAGCTCTAACAGTAATAAATATGTACTGGTGTGTTCCAGCACTACACCCCTCCCAGTGCCAATGCTGCAACCTCTAGTGGGCACCATTCACCCCTGTATTCTATATGAATGTTATTAGCCAAGTGTACTCTCAAGCAGAGGGACTTAAGTGCAAGCCTAGTCCTTTGTACTGGTGGAGTTCAGTCTATCACCTTGACTCAAAATGCTCAGAATTCTTCCTAAAAAGTTGATCAACTAACTGGATAACTCTGCTTTGACATTTTAAAATAGAAAGCATGCAAGAATTTAACCACTGAAGGTAACAGTAAGGTTATTGCTAAATTACATGCGATGATATCTAATGAAATAACATTCATGCACATTGTTCTTTTCAAATGATCTATTGTGATAAATTCTGATCCACTTGGAGTCCATAAATGCAATAATTCTATTTTGCAATTATTCGATGATAAAAATGAAAGTAAAAGAATTCAGAATCTTGGAAAAGTCAGGGGAAAAAAAGCAGTTAGCTTGAACTTAGCTAGTCTCTATTTTTGTGTGTATCTACTCATGCATCAGCAAGTAAAATGTAATATCCTTCTGCTTAGGGACATAACCACATTCTTCAAATTTTCAATCATAAACAAAGAGTAAATAACTTTGAACCACAAAAATCTTTATTCACTACCCACCTCAGCAAACATGCTTCCTTTGCATATATGTAGTGGGCATTCAAATCACTGTTAGTCACTCACACATTTGATGAGGGCGAATTTTAGCAGCCAGTTCTACTTTAACATGCACTATTCCAGAGGGGCCAGAATAGAGTAAGTTGGACACAGTTTGTGCAAGAATTTGACGAAGCATGTCAGAAAAGATGAAAATATCCGGCATGGAAAACTAATCTAGCATTTAAATCCAGAGTTCCTGTAAATACATCTTCATATGCAATCATGGGACTTTAGGTCTGAAAATGAACAAGCCCTGGATTAAAACACAGAACACACACATGGACAATACTACTGGCTTTAATTTTTGCTGACTATCTGCCAAGAGCTCCCAATCCTACCTCTTACCAGCAGAGGGCCCCTTAACCCCCAGCTGTGAAAATCAAGTGATAATGCTTTTTTGAGAATGATCAGATACAGCATGTAAGGCAAACATACTCTGTACTTTCTGAGACTGTCCTCAGCCTTCAGCCCCCAGAACCCCACCCCATTCTAACAGCCAAGAGAGCAAAGACCCCCGCATAGGTTTAAGGTCAGAGTAGTCGTCTTAATCCTGCTCTGTGAAGTAGCCACACAGGAATCTGGTGCCTGTGGGAAAACTATTTACTGCTCACTAAAAATCAAGGAGCCAGCTAAAGATTTAAATGGTGAGTACCTAGCTTTTGTGCCTCCACAGTGCATTCTTTAGAAGTCAGGAAAATGATTAAACCCCATCATTGGTCCTCCTCTGCACATAATAGCATTGAAATTTAAGTCAGGATAACTGGGGAAATAAAAAAACTAAACCTATATAGGAAAACCAGAAAGCCCCTATCTATTTTATATATATATATTTAAAGATTTATTCATACAAGCACTGGGTACAGTCAGAAGCGTGAGAGGGTGAGAGAATTCACCAGAGCCAGAGCGGGGAGCAGAACAGGCAGAAGGACTGAAGTACACTGCTGAGGGGAGCAGCAGGCGGCAGGATAGGTCTGCGCACCATGTGGGACCCTTGCCGGCGGCCGGGGATTGAACCGGCGCTGCAGAGGCTGCGGGCAGCTTCACAGTCCGGTGCTCAACCACTGCGCCACCAGGGGAGGCCCCTGTCTATTATATTTTTAAAATCAACCCTTTACTATCTGTTTCTTTTTCTGTACATATGTGTTACTCCATAACAAGATATATAAAATGAACTCAAACTTAAGGTTGTTGGGGCACTTCTCATAGACTAAAATCTGTTTGCCAGGCTTGAAGACTTATTTTAGTCAATGTTAGCATGGTGACTAGCATAAAACCGGTTGAATTATGTTATTATTTTGTACCATAGGACAGAGTTAGTGTTTTCTTTTGGGAGTGGGGACCAAAAACCTCAGAACAAGATAAAACAACTATTCTTTAAAACAGACTGATACTGACAGGATTATAAAAAGAAACTTAGTTTTTAAGGCAAAATTACTTAAACCACCATGCTATAAATTCCATTAAATATCCACTATCAATGAAATAAGTATGCTAAATATTGTAAAGTATCTACAATATGAAATAGTTTTAGGCTGTTTTAATTTTTAGATAAGACACATTATACCTTTTACTCTTTGGTTCCATACTTATAATACATTATCACACAAACTCTAGCTTTGAAATACATTTATTTTTTGATTATTGGAATTCATCTTTCTTGAAATTTTTACTGAGTAGTATAAATTAAGCTTGAGGGCATAACCACAACTCATTAGCAATACATACAATTGGTTTCCTATTCAAATTTATGAAAGCAGTATTTAGTAGTAACAAAATATAGAAGAGGTTCACTTTTCCTTTTAGTCCAAAGTTTTATTTTTAAATCCAATCATTTAAACATTTACAAACATCCCTCACCAGGATATTCAAGAGAGGGAAGAAAAGGAGCACTACCTACTAAAGGTTATTACAGCCATATCATCCAGTGACCCAAGAGTTACATGATTATTTCAGTGTCCACTGTGGTTTTGAACATTGTTGTTAGCAAATAAATTCACTCATCTGATAGACTTACATGTTTCTGGGTGAAAACCCAAAGAGTGACAGTAGTATATATGATATTCATAACTAATAGTTAAAACAGAGTAAGTCTACCTGTTCATTAGAAGACTGTAGTATGGGAAATGTTTTCACCCTGTCAGTTCATTTTGTTTTCAGAAAAAGATACCCTAATGATACAGTAATGGGGCACTTCACCAGGTTACCAATAACTCTTCCAAAGGTCTTAAAAAGGATGCTAACTACTAACAATATTTTATGCTAAGTTAGGTCGCTTTAAGCTGTGACTTTAGTGAGGCCACTCCCTCATTCTAACTCTTCAGAATATATCCCAGTCCCTAAAAAAATCACAGTTCTGATGGAGTACATTAATGAGAGTTCTTTCTAAGCAATGCATAGCCAACTTCTAAAACAACCATGGAACTTCATTCCACATCGAGCAAAGGTGTTCATTCTCTTTTTGGTAGTGTAGTTTTATTTTTACTTTATTTTGAAAAAGTACATGTGTGCTATGAACTATCAGTTTGGGTAGATAAAAAAAGGAAACTATTTAGCTAAATTTTGTTTAACTATATTGCCCTATATGGGCTAGTCTATAAGCTATTTAACTGGATATGCAAGACTGAAAAAGGAAAGGAAACCTGAGGAACTCTGAAATATGGCAATTATTCCATAACTATGTGTTTGTATGCTAAAAATCAGACATGATGTAAAAAAAGTGTATCAGAGCACATGTAAACAATATCCTGGTCTTAGACAAGTGTTAGCATTCGTGGTTCATCAATAGTAATGCTTTTTTAAGAGAATCAAAGGTTAAAGGGGAAAAAATTTAATGTCAATTTTGAAGGCTTGCAATTAGCTGAGAGAGTATTTAACATAAAACTTGTGGATGATTTTCAGGCTACTTAATTATTTTATATGACTAATTATAGTTACATTTAAAATACAGAAATACAAATTAAAAATTCAAATGTGTAACAAATCACTCTTCAATTCTTACCAAAAAAATAGGACAAAACTAAGTACATAAAATTATATTACAAATATCAGGGAAGTTGCAAACATCAGTCAGAGATTACATTTTTAATATAGAAAAGTAACAAACTTACCCATGCCATTTAATTAATATGAAATAGAACTGCAACGTATTACATAACGAGACTTTTTTTTTCCTGCTACTAAAGGCATTAAGACAATTTGCCACAAAATATATTTTGTGCAAAAATTAAAGAGACAGTATTTCAAGCGATTAGAAAAGAAAAGATGAACCACTAGCAGACAGTCATTGTTAGGAACTGAATTTTTTCCCTAACACCTATCCCATTGTCAGCAATGGGAGTGGTGACAAATGGTGACATAAAAATAGACATTTTATATTACTTTGAAATAGATAATTCCAGATTACTCAGTATTATGAAAAGCAAACATTCACTCTTGACCATATAACAAGAGCACACCCTGGAAATTCTCTTATGTTCTCATTATTAATCTGGACAGGGTGGTAAGGGTGGTACAGATAGAAGACTTAAAAAATATATATAAAAGAAACATAAAACATTATGCATTTAGTACGAATAATGAAAAATGACTTTATGACACATTTTCCAAGAAGAGTTATTTTTACATTATTTTGAAAACCTGTAAAAACTAGGTATATGAAAGGAGTTAAAAATAAACTCGCTGATGGATGATAACCAGTTTTAACAGTTCAAACAATATCTTAGTTGGAAAGCTACTGACCCAAGTCACAAAATACATGCTCCGCCACATGTCTGATTACTTATTAAAATCTTTTAAGAAATTCTTTTTGTATTTGGTGCTGACAGAGCTCTTGAGAGTGTGCTATACAAACTGAAGGTCATAGAAATTTTTAGGTGGTAATCTTAAAATACCATACAAAAATGTGTAAACAAAAAGATGCTTAGAGTTATAGGGCGTTATAAAATCCATAATGTGGACTGAGGCAAAAGACATCTCCTGTGCATTTGTTAGCATAATCCTTGAAAGTTCAAAACTGCATTTTCAGTCAGCAGCAAAAGGTGCTAGAGGCACCACTGTACTTTATAGGACTAGGGGGTGACTGCAGATGTGCTGTGTATCTTCTCAGGGACTTGGTCAGCACAAGTTCACCGTGCTTATGGTTGGACATACGAAAAATGATTTTGTAACAAATCTCACCTGGGAGATGCACTAGCATTAAAACATTCATACTCCTCTTTTATCTACCCTGTCACAGGGAAAAACTACCTTAAAAGATTTATAAACAATACAAATTCTGATAGTAAAGCACTGTAAAAATTAGGTATGATATTTTTGGCACAACGCACTTTTTAAATCCAAGCTCATTTGCAAAATATATGTCTAGAATTTTTTATTTGAAAATAAAAACTTTTAACATACACACGTGTAAAGGGTTTTATGAATGGATGAATTAGATTCTGTTTCCTTAAATACTGCACACATGTTCAGTTTTCTTCAGTACCAGATACCTGCATGCATACCTCCTCATTCTGCATTATACAGATATTGCACAAGTAATGTCGCCAAAACACACACTGGTGCAGTCTGGCAAGGTTTAGGGTTTACCTTTCAATATTTTTTTTCTAACTATTCAGATTCAATACTATCTTCCAAAAAAGTTACATGACCAATTTCAGAAAAATAATGCTCGCTATCTTTTCTTGATCCGTAATATGAAAATTTATACCTACATATTTAGGCATTTCATTTGTTTTCCAGCATTTGAAATTCAGCAAAACCTGTTTTTGACATCTCTTATAGCATTCCTTCAAAAACAGGAGAAGCTTCGTCTAATGTAAAAAAATTTAAAATGAGTCCAAAAGGGCAGTAATTTTCCACCAAAGATCTCACTCCATTCTGAAAAACACTGTAGAACATTTAAGTCTGTCAACTTTCAGAAAGCCATTAGGTGCAAAGTCTTCAAAAAACTTACAACATATCAGGACTGGATGGATTCCTTACTGAATTGCACAATATATTTTTTTTTTCCTCCCTAAAGCATTTTAGGGTATGCTACAGCTGCTAAATGGATTTCTGTTTTTCTTGGTCCTCTGTTTGTTGGGTCTAAGATTGATGACATCTCCACCATTAAGTGTATTTGAATTCTGACCCAAGTGACTTCCACCAGATGTATTAAAGACACCTGTATAAATTGAGGGAAAACACAGAGATTACCTCAGGGTAGCTGTGCAGCCCATGCATCCAGCTTCTTAGTAAACCAGTAATATTTGCAAATATTTATAACTTGGAGCTTTTGCCTTCATTTCATTTAATTTTAATAGCCAATACACATAATTCAAAGTTCAAAGGGTATAAAAGGGGACGCAGTGAACTTCTCCCTCCCCTTAAGCAAGTATGTCCTCCATTTCCCCATGTATTCAGCTATGTTATACATATGTAGGCAGAAATACATTTATATACTTTCTTCCTCTTTTTTTATCCAAATGGTGACATAGTCTACACTTGTTCTGCATCTTTTCACTATCTATTTCTGAAATAGAGTCAGTAAATTCAATAATTTAAAAGACTAAATTCATTAATTTTATATCATCTAAAAGGGCTTATAATGCCTGATTTGTGGTTAACAACAGAATTTGTGAGATTTTATGCTAATAAATACATTGCATATGTAAAAGTTGTTAGTAATGTAGGACTTTCCTATCTTGGCTAAAACAACAAAATTATGTACATATAATAAAAGTGAGGAGTAGATAAAAGGGATGAACTACAAGAAAACTTTTCACTATTATAGTTTACCTTTTGAATTGTACTAGTCATAAAATGTAATCTCCAATTTGTTAACTTTTTAGCCTTGTGATGTACAAAATTCTAGGCCAGAGGCATTATCAATAATACAAAGATGACTCAGGCCAATTTCAGTCCATAGGAAGTTTACAATCCAATGAAGAAGGTGAGATAATATACAAATAAGTAATGCTGTAAGACACTGTAGGTCAAGTATCATGAAAGAGACACAAGATCCCATAGATGATTCAAAGGAGGACTGAAAACATCCAGTTCATAAAGAAGGATAAACTACATGAAGAAGCTGGAACTGGACACCTGGCAATGTCCTGGACTTAGATAGCTGTTTACTTAGAATGAAAGCATGGAGGCCATAGCTACAGCCAGAAATATAACTGAGAGAATAGTCCTTGAGGAATGAACAGTTCTTTGACAGAGATGGGAAAGGAGGTCATTATCCACAGAAAAGCCAAAATGAGCAAAGGTGAAGAAGACTGGGCATGCTCAAGAAAGAGCAAGACTTCTGACAGAACCAGCAGATGGGGCACATGATAGTGAAGCATGGGATGCATAAGAAAGATGTACAAATCTGTCTTTAAATGTTGGAATGAACATAACCTGTGTTTGATTTGTTCCATAATGAGAATCTATCACGGGGCTTTAATCAGTGAGCTGGAAGAAGACAAGAGGGAAATCAGGAAATCAGGCAGCAGCTTATTCTAAATGGTTTCATGAAGCATTTGAGATGTCTGACAGTAGGGACATATGTAATAAAAATAAGTCAGAACTAAGAAAAATGTAAAATATGACAGGTGAAGATAATGATGTGTTTGCGTGTGTGTAGTGAGAGAGGGATGGACACAGACACAACATCCTTAAAAGACTACACAAAAGCTTTAAAAACAAAAATTTTGATTCTCATCCTCCTGGAAGTCAAAGTAAAAAGAGACACAATCAATTACTGCTAAAGAGAAGACAACATACTTGTTCATCAGGGAATGCTAAACTTTGCCAGTATTTAGCATTAAAAGAACAACAATACTTAACAGATAATAATGTATTAAGAAAGGAAAAGGAATTGAGATGGTACAGTACAGAGTCAGAGGGACAAGTTTGTTAAAAGCTTTTTATATAAAAGACATACCTATATAAAAACTTTCAGGCCTCCCTGGTGGCACAATGGGTTAAGACCACAGCACAGACACTGCAGCATGAGTTTGATCCCCGGCACGAGCAACCCACATGGCACAGCAGACCTCTCCTGACTCGCCTGCTGCTCCCCTCAGCAGTGTATTTCATCAGTCTCCTGTTCTGTTCCCCGCTCTGTCTCTGGTGAATCCTCTCACCGTCCCCACCCCCCACATCTCTGGCCTGTACCCCAGCTCTTGTATGCATAAATAAATAAATATTAAAAAAAAAAAACTTTCATCTGTGTCTTTTTTTTTTTTTAAAGATTTATTTTATTTTTATACAAGAGCTGGGGTACAGGCCAGAGGGGCAGGAAGTTGAAAGGATTCACCAGAGGCAGAGCAGGGAGCAGAACATGCAGATGACAGAAATACACTGCTGAGGGGAGCAGCGGGCGTGACAGGAGAGGTCTGCTGTGCCATGTGGGATTCTCGCCGGCCTGCCGGGATGGAACCCACATGGCAGAGGCTGTGGACAGTTTCAAAGAGTGGCGCTCAACCCGCTGCGTCCACCAGGGAGGCCCTCATCTATGTCTTAATATAACAAATAGATTTAGAAAATTCAGTAGTTTAAAAATCTAGTAACTCACTTTTTAATAAGAGACCTGAGTCTTCTACAATAATCATTGACCTAATGTCTTCTAATCACATTTCTTAAAGAATGGAATATATGTTTTTAAAAAAAGTAAATATGATTATAATGAATGGAAAATAAATATACCAAGTAAACATGGGGCTACAGTTTCCTGGGTACTTACCAATTTTGTTACTATTTGAATGCATTAGTTCTGGATCCTCAGCTATCTGTTGTTTGAGTTTTTGAAGGTATTTTTCAGCCAAATATTTAAAAACTAGAATTAGAAAAAAGCAACCTTACTGGATCAGTATTATTTATGCACATAAAATCTGTTATTTCACATCACTTACAGCAATGCTTATATTTATTTAAAATATATAAAATTAAATTAGAATCAGAAATATACAATCTAGTTTAAAACTTCAACTTTTAAGAATTTATGTGTATTACCTGAGAATTATAAAGGTAATATTAATAAATATATAGTGGTATTTTATTAGTAAAGAAATGAGATAATACTTATAGCCCCTGAATTTTTAGTTTTATGTGCTTGAACACTGATCAACATTCAGTAACATTAAACTCAGTCCTAAAGTCTCCTTTAAGTGAAGAAGAAAAAAAACTGTCCAGAAGACACCTGAGCAACAATCGAATTGCAATGTATACAAGTACAATTCTGAACTAACAAAATTCCCTAATCTTATTTTCTTAAACTGGGAATTATTATAAGTAAATCATCATAACTACCTAATGGCATATCTACTACCACAGAACTCTAAAATTGTGATTTTGAAAGATATGCAAGAAAAACATAAGCATACACACATATGCATAGTTTTTAAGGATTAAAGAAACACAAAACCCTGTGAGTTTTTCTGTAGAGAATAACAAGTGATCAAAAACAGTAAGTAATTAAGGACTCTAACCTTGAAGAATCATCACTTTATATTTAATGATCGGTGATAAAGAGAAAATTCTGTTCTCATTACAAATAAAATTTTTAAAGATAATAGAAAAAGTGAAAGCAATATAAAACAAATTTCCTGTTCCTAAACTTTAAAAAACAAAACGCAGTTTACCTTCATTCACATTTAGATCTTCTTTCACTGACGTTCTGTAGAATCTTAGCTTTAACTTTTTTGCCAGTGCCTCAGCTTCCTCACTATTCATCAAATAAAAAGGAATAAGCTTATAAAAGTACTTCTGATAACTGGTTTTTACAAGTCACTTTTTTAAAAAATTGTAGTTATGTGTGACAATGAATGTTTACTTATTGTGGTAGTCAGCTGGCAATGTAAACATCATTCATTATATATACACCGAAAACTAATACAATGCTCTGTTGGTTATCTCAATTAAAAAGAATTAAAGATTATTAAATAAAAGAATGCAAAAATAAAATAAATAAAATCACTTTTAATTAATTTACTGAATATAATTTGGTAGGAGGGGGGTGTCAAATCTTCCAGATCAGTTGAAAACTATGTTCTCAGTGCTTAAGTGGGATATTTAGTTTCCACTACTCCCAGGTGATAACTACCAGCTATTATACACAGATACTTTTCTATAAAGTCACTAAAGTCTGGCCTTAAAATGACTAAATATTATTTTATATTATACTTTCATTTTCTCCCTCATGAGTTTACAAATATTTGAATCTAATTACATGCTGAAATCTTACAATGCATTTTACTTTTACTAACTATGAAACTATCCTGCAGCCAAAGCAGGGTCAGTATATTGATGACTGTGTCTATAAGATTAGGCTCCTAATTTTAGTGTTAATCAGAAGTACTGATTGTGGGGTCCTGATTTTAGTTTTATTAAGATTATAATAGAGATACTCCAAAATGGTTCCCAACAATCCCTGCTCTCCCCCTCCCTCCACCCTCCCGCCAACCTGGTCTTCACACCCATGTGTAGTCATGTGTAATCTCCTCCCATGCTGTAATAAAGACTGGTTTGTGTGATCACATTATACAGAAGTGATAGTATATGACTTTTAAGACTAGGTCATAAGAGACATTCTGCCCTGCTCTCTCTTAGATCACTTGCTGGGGGAAGCCAATTGCCATGTTTTGAAAACATTCAAGCAGTTCAGGTGGGAGAGACCCAAAGGGCAAAGCACTAAGGCCTCCTGCCAACAGCCAAGTGAGCCACCCTAGATGTAAATCCTCCAGCTCCAGTCAGACCTTTATGTGACTTCAGACCTAGATGATATCTTGACTGCAGCCGCAGGAAAGAGAAACTCCAAAGCAGAACTACCCTGCTAAGGCACACCCAAATTTCCAAGGCCATTGAAACTCTGAAATAATAAAATAGCTGTGGTTTTAAGCCACTAAGTTTTGGGTTGAAACAGATAACTCATGTAAGAACATATTTTTAAAATAAGGTAAAAATCAAGCAGACTTTTAAAGCTAGCAAAAAAAGATTAATATTGCAATGAACAAATACTTGTAGACAGAGAGTATCTGGATGTTAAACTGTGTTCACATATTTGAACTTAGTTTTGAATATACAAAACAATATAAATCTGAACATATTTATTTAAATTAATCGACACCAGATAGCTACTTACTCTGGATGTTAAAACATCTAAGGATGTTTTTCTTAACATCAGTATATCTAGATTTACTTAACATTAAAAATTGGATTTGTGATGCAAGGTCCTAAGACTAAAATTCTAAAAAAGCCTTCAAAATTTCTTCCTTTAATTTTATCTTATGGTTCAATGTGAATTTTTTAGCTAAAACTAATCACACAGAATATCTCCCAGAAATTTTAAGTATAGGCAGTATTTATGAAAACCTCTCCTAAATTTGTTAAATCCATGCAAAAGTTAAAATAGGCTTTAACTTTGTAGAATTACCACCACCCCTTCAAAAGTAGCCATCTTACTTCTTTATACAAGAATCATCCAAGAGATCAATCTTATTTTGTACAAGTACAGTTGGTATATCTCCAACTTCAGCTACTACTTTCTCTCTCCAACTGGAAATTGCTTCAAAAGATTCCCTGTCTGTGGTAGAAAATACAAGCACACAAGCCTGGGCTCCTGTAAGGTCACAAAATAAAAACGATATTTACATTAATGAAACAGTATTATGCAAGGTGAGGGCAACTTTTACTTTTGTTCAAAATAATTTTTATTTAATTGTTGCTCATTTTTGTAGCACTCAGTTTATTATTGAACATATAAACTCTATTTTTTAGTTCAAAGAACCAATTTTTATCAATAACAGTGGTTCTCAAACTGACAGGTACCAAGGTACCCTCAAAACTATGTACTTTTTCAGAACATCATGAAAAACTGACAAGATTTACATTGTTAGAGGTAGGGGGAATAGTAAACAAAACATGAATGACAGGCTTTTGTCAAGTTCTTCCTTTTAGTATTTGTCATTTTTTGCTGCTTCATTTCTTTTAGCACAAATTTAAGAAAAATGTGAGAAAAAGTATTTCTCATTTTATTTACTTTTTAGAAAATCTGTACAATTAATTTGAGTAGAATGCTAGAAATAAGGAACATAATTTGAGAATCAGTATAAGAATAAAATATACACTTTATTATATAACATGTATATACACATATATATATAAAATAGTGAGGAAAAGTTTAGTTTTTTATCCTGTTTTACTGTACAATTCCCACACTGTTCTTTTAGCTATCAATTGTCAGATTAGGTTGATAATATCTAAGCAACAGCCTTTTGGAAGAAGCTTTTTTACAAATGATCAACTATCAAATCAGGCAGCATGACAAAAGCAGTTGTGTACACAAATAGGGAAAATCAGCAAGAGAATTTCCTGGAATCAATGCATGTCTTCCAATAATTACTCCTTCCTTTCAGATCCCTCAGGTACAAAAGTTCTTACTCAGATTCCAGATATGCACACCTGGGCTACTTAAGACACTCTAAGGTCAAAAAGGCTAGCATGTCACCAAAGATAAGGTTGTAGAAAGCAAAAGAGTTCCAATGAAAAAAAAAAAGCAACAGGTTACTATTACTGCAAAAGCAAAAGCTTCACCTAGGAAAAATCTTCCCTACTCTTATACAGGTTTTAAACCTAATAATGAATTATACAAAATTCAGAGAGGGAGGAGACAGATACAGATATACATACACACACTGACCCCTGAGACTTTCTTGAAATTTCAGGAGATAAAATTGAAAAAATGACATTAATACATTGGTAAATAAATTGATAATTACTTGAATGCTAACATTTACTTAAACTACAAATAAAACACTATTTAATCATACTTTAAGAACCCATACTTTATTATAAAACTTTTTTTTTTTTTTACTTTTTAGCTTTAAACCTAAATTTTATATCAATTTAATTGTCATTTAAAATTGAGGGCCCAATAGGATATTTCCAGATATAGAAGATCTCAGACACTTAAAAAAACAGAAAAATAAAGATGGGGCAGGCAATAGGAATTAATTAGATTAAGAAAAGTGCAATGTTGTTTGAAAAGTTAAGGATCAAAGGATAAAAAAAAGTTTGTCCGCAACAACCACAAAATTATTTAGAATGGCTCTGAATGGGGAGACAAGGAATATGGGAATATGCTAAAGTGCTCCTCTGAAGAGAAAAGTGTAATTATGGTATGTGGAAGGAATCAAGGGAGATAAGCAAACATAAATATGTGTAAGAGACACCCTGTCCTCCCTGCACATGCCCCTTGGCCTCCCTACCTCTCATAGAGTCTATCTCATACATATGCAGGTGGCTCAGAATTTCTACCTCAGGGGTGTTCTGACATTTCAAAAGGACCCTAGCTTTAGCACACTCCCTAAGGGGAATTAATACTCTGGGGGGAAGTTTCAGCTTTTGGGAGGTGGGATAAATACCTCAACTTCACTTTGGTGGAATCATCCAGAAGCATGTCCAAATGGTTCCTCAGAGGGACTGATTACCCAGTTGCCTACAGTAATAACTAGCTCATTAATGTATCCTTTGTTAGTTTTTCTCCTTTCTTTTGCTAGTCTCTCACTTGCCCTTCCTGGGATTACCTTCCAAATAAATGACTCCCATTCAGTTGTGCCAAGAACTACATTGTGTGTTGGAGGAACGGGCAGACTAAAATTAAGTCAGTTTAAGGTGTCTTAAAGTAAAGACAATTACCATAAGAATAAAGACAACTGTGTATTAAACTGCGAGAGAAAAATAGACTTACCCAATGTAAAGAGGACAGAGGGGAAGGATAGCATAAAAAGAACTACAGAAAATATAAAAATCTGAAATTAGATGAAAGCATAAGTTATAACCTCCAGAAGGAATGATATACAAATCTCCAGAATAGGATGGTTCACTTGATAGTAAGACTTCAGATCTTTATTGCAACCACCTCATCTGATTTAAACTAAATATATTTAGTTTAAATAAAAATAAAGTGTGACCTACTTTTATTGTTATAGTAATTATGACCAACACTGGATGACTACTTGTTTTAATTTCCCCTAACTTAACATTACCATCTATCTATACAAATAAAATACTCTGTTGAATTGTGTGATTCACCATGGTTCTTCTATGTTTAGGGAAACTCTAATGACCAAAATGCTCTTTCTAATCTACATTTAAAAAATTTTAAAAGACAATCCTTATCACAAAATTTTGACTGAGTTACCAATAAAATAGATGACAAATACCAGATTCAAAAGCATGTGGGAAAAAAAGATCGTTTTTTGCAGAACTTATATAGAAAATGGATATAAATGTCATACAACTCTAGAACTCTAACACTTCAAGAACTTTTTATTGAGAAGATGGGAAAAGGAAGCTTTATAAAGAATTCTTTAGAGAAATTACTGTCTACCCCAAACCTTCTCTCTCTCTCAAGAAGGTAGAGTGGAATGGGAGCGGTACTATCCTCCATCTCAATCTAGAAGGAATGCGCTCAGCATGACCACTCAAAGAATTAGACATGTATTCCCAGCAACTGGCAGACACTCTGGACTGACGGTGCGCTGACTCAAGCTTGAGAAAGATGAGGTAGCTGGGAGCAAAAGTGAAAAAGCAAGAGCAAAAGACAACAAACAACCTTACATGGAAGTAACTGTGCTCCCACCAATAGTGGGGTCAAGAATGCACATGAATTTCTTATAGGTAAAGATACCACATCTAAAAAGAGCTAGCATGGAGTCATTTTAAATCATGTCCAAGGGAACTATTGAGCATGTGATGGGAGGCTGACGTTAAGGCAGATGAAGAAGAAATAAATTAATTCCACAGAGGTACAAAGCAACTTCCAGAAATCAAGTGCACACATGGCCAGAAAAAATATCACCAAGAATGGGAACCTTGGGCCCTTTGAAGAACCAGGACAGTTACCTAGAGAAAGAATGATATTTAAACAGCTACCATCCACAGGCCCCCAACATCAGACAACAATAGCACTGCCAAGTGCTCTGGTCTCTCAAGGCATTACCAGGAGAAAGATGAACCATCTCTATCAATCTAGGGGAGAAGGTGGGAGGAGTGAAGTGACCAATATTCTCCTCTCAGACCACAGCTGGTTGCCTACTGAAAGCCCCAAAGAGGATAAGAGATTTAATGTTAAGTTACACCTGTAGTTTTGATTAATACAGGACCAGCTATTCTAATTACCAAACTGAGATGATTATGTTTATGACCAGAAATAACTTGGAGGCAGTTGAGAAAAATTACTTGTGAGAGATCAGGAAAGACATGAACTGAAGGGAATTTTCATTTTGGGTCAAGAAAAGAAGTTTCCGCCTCATATTCCCTAATCAAATGTAAAGGGATGGTGACAGGCAAAAATGAAAGTTGCATTTTGATAACTTTATAAGTTGTGCCTATTCAGTCTACCAATTACTATAAATACTCTTAATTCAAAAATGGAGCTATATTGTTATCCTTCCTTGTTTTTCCTTTAACCTCCAGTTCTATGTAGATACCATCATCTTCAAGAAAGTTAATGTTTCTTATTTCTCTGCAGTAGTCATTTGGACTATCTTACATCTTTGCTATTTAATGGCAGCTAGTGTTTTTTATCCATACATTTTACAAAGACCTTTATTTTCCTACAATTTAATCTTCCTTCAATACTACCTACCCTAACAATCACACACTGGAAAATTTACCTCATCATTACAGATAACAGTAAACCTCCCACAAATGAGTCACTTCTAATAATTAATAAACTGTTGTACTTATCTACACATTAGGAATACAGAGATCCAAATAAACTATTGGTGTTAACTATTAGATCACCAATAGCAAAGGCTTATCCCTAATTACTGTACCATTCCAAAAAAGTTACTATTTCTGAGTACAATTCAGAAAATATTTCCCAAGACACATATTGTGTAGAGAGTAGTTCTGTTCTCAAATCACTGAAAGACCCTACAAGAAGACTTGTTCTTAGTGTGACCAAAGACCACAACATCAGTGTGACCTGGGAACTTGTAGAAATGCACAATCTCAGAGCCACCCAGAGATCTACTGAATTAGAGTCTGCATTTTAACAACCTCCCCATTGAATTCATTTGACCATTAAAGATTAAGAAACACTGTTCTAGGGCCTCCCCGGTGGCGCAGCGGTTGAGCGCTGGGTTGCAAAGTTGCCCGTAGCCTCTGCAGCGCCGGTTCGATCCCTGGCTGTTCCCCGGCCACTGGAGGAGGGTCCCACATGGCGCGCAGACCTCTCCTGCCGCCCGCTGCTCCCCTCAGCAGTGTACTTCGGTCCTTCTGCCTGCTCTGCTCCCCGCTCTGGTTCTGGTGAATTCTCTCACCCTCCTGCACTTCTGACTATACCCAGTGCTTGTATAAATAAATAAATAAATAAATAAAAATAAATCTTAAAAAAAAAAAAGAAACACTGTTCTAGAGAACATAGTATAAAATTTCACAAAGGCAAAAGTCAATCACAAACAGGCGTTATCCACTATTATAGCTATTACTCTGGATTTAAAATAATTGTCCTTTCTTCTTGAGACACAATAAAATCTAAAGTATACAACATTATTCAATGAATCAACCTGTCAGATTCTATGATCATATAATTTCAAAGCAAATCTGACTGTATTGCAGAGCCTAATTCTGTCCTTCCTTATTTCTTATTTTTTAACTGTAACTTATAAATGGCTTCTCTTCCAGAGCTATCTTCCATTTCTTTGTGAAAATACTTTTAAAAAAGGAGGTTTCCTTTATTTATGTATATAATCTCAGATAATAGGTCTCAAGTCTAACCACATTTCCATATATTACTAGTCAGAAGCATTTGTTTTCCTTAGGACCAAATCACAGTAAAAAACTATAATGAAAATCAATTTTTACATTGTATGTAACTTTCTGTATGAAGTATGGTTTTTACTGCCTAGGGTGAACTTTGAAGAGTTTATGAGGAATTATTTAGGATCCCCACAGGCTTCTTAATAAGATCTGTACTGTGTTCTAACTTATTTACAAGAAGGTCATGTTTCAGCATGTCTTACTATACAATCAAGCCAGCATTCCAAAAACATAAATAATGCCTTTTTACCATGGCTTTTTGTATAACAGGCCTTTCAACTGAATTGTTTTTTTTAAAATACATGTTTGCTTTTATGAATCTTAAATAGTAATTTCTAGGACATAGATCTTTAAGTCATACTTTCATAAGGCAGTTTTTCTATCATTAATCCTAATGTCCTCTTCTTAGTCCTGTTTTTATTTAATTACATCATCTGAATCTAGAAGCTAGTAGTCTATTACCGATCTATTACTTGGTAGTCTACTGGTAGCTGGCAACCAGTTTCCTTTCCTCCCTGAGAACAGGTCTCCTCCATTAAAAGAGCAAATATGGTCTAAGCAGGCTAAACCTACCCTCTACTGGGGGGAGGGGGAACCTACTTTTGCCAATCCAATTAGGATAATCACATTCCTCAGGCTGCTTACTGCAATCTGGTCAAGGGCAGTCTAATCAGATGAAAGCGCAAGACTTTTGACCCACTGTTGTGGGAAGTAACCTCTCTCCTTAAGGTTGTAGACTAAACCTGTGCTTTCCAATACTGATGGAAGCAATCCTGCAACCCAGGGGAAAGTCAGTACAAGGAGGAACCCTATAGAGGAAGGGAGGCAGGCCAGGGAAACAATGAGGTTACAGTCAGAACAAACCACAAGTGAAATCTGCTACTTCTTGACTTTTCTACTAAACAAATCAATAAGCCTTTGTAGTTTTTAAGTCAGTTTGAAACTGCCTTTCTCAGGCCTCCCCTGGTGGTGCAGCGGTTGAGCACTGGGATCCCACATGTCGTGACAGACCTCTCCTGCTGTGCCCACTGCTCCCCTCAGCAGTGTATTTCATTAGTCTGCCTGTTCTGTTTCCTGTTCTGGCTTTGGTGAATTCTCTCACACTCCCGCGCTTCCTACTGTACCCAGTGCTTGTATAAATAAATTAATTAATTTTAAAAAAAAAGAAAAAAAAAGAAAAAAAAAAGAAATTGCCTTTCTCTTGTCACAACCAAAATTATTCTGATGGAACATCAAAGGAAAGCATAAAAGAGTGTTCACTATGCCACTTCTCAAATTTATGTATAATTGTCACTGTTCCTTAATTCAAACTGTGTTGTGGTAAATGTTTATTCTTACAACTTAGGAAAAGCTGGAACTTAAAACAGTCTCAGTATCTCACCCTCTTTGCCATTTTAATGTAGCTCATCAAAAACGTTAACATTTTAAGATAACAGTAAACCACCCACAAATGAAATGCAACATTTTAAGATAACTTTTTAACAGTTTTATATTAAATGCCTAAGATCACTAAAGTTAAATGTTAAATATAGGGGAATCAAAACTGTTTAATGTCTTTTAGTCCAAATGAACAAAGTAAAAACAAAATTAAACATCATCCACAGTAAATTAAGATGCAAATACTTATAATTATGGAATCTCTTTTTAGTATTTGGCAAAGAACATATTCTGTAAACCTACTTAAGAGAAACAGAATTATCTGTAGATACCTGAGAAGTACAAAAAGGTTACATAGCCATATTGTAAAATTTAAAAAATGTTTGCCCTACCCATCTTATGGCAAAGAAAGTAATACCTGAAAAGAAAATTTTTTAGCTACCTGGTCTTATTTACTTATTTAAATCAGGGATCCAAATGATCTACCTCACTAAATGGTTCCAACATTTTCTGTTTAATTATATATAAATCAAATCATTTTTGATATTTTACTACTAGTTCATCTTTTTTAAGTTAAACTTTATTTGTGATGATTACAGACACATAAATTTTGCCTTTTTAAATTACTGGACATAGTGGTAAATACATTCTCCAACAATAGTCATAGAGGTTAAAAAGAAATACTACCATATCAAACTGTCAAAAGCTTAGAAAATAACCCAACCCACTTTTGTTCCTCACAAGAGAACATGTGTTTCATGCTGAGAACTTAGGGGGCAAAGCTAGGTACATAAAAAGAAAATAATGAAAGTCTCATGTAATCTTACTATTGATACTTTTTGGTGTTTCCACGTAGGTTTCATTTTTTTTTGAGGGGGCAGGGGAATGGGAGCAGGAACTGTGGTGGTAATAATTAACCCCATAAATAAAAAGAATAAAAATACCCTTTACTCAAGAATAACTGTACATTTAGGACTTGTTAATAAAGTGTCAATGCTGATGAAATTCATAATCTGATAAAGTATAATCTATTCTATAAAGAACTTTGAATAGAAGGAATATAATTCCCACCTCACACCATGATACAGGTGCTTAAAATCCAAATTAGCAGTCTTAGAAAAGGATCAAAGCTATTATGTAAGGGAAGACTTTAAGAACACAGTTAATAGAACAAGCAGTAAGTAGTGGTGGCATTACTAAGTGACATAAGTGAGAGGTATACTCTCTTAATTTCTCCAGGAACCAAAATATTTTCTTAAGCAGGCACTGGAAATCAAATTTCCTTGATACCAATTTAAAAAAGCAACATCTATGGTAGTCTTAATGTTAATGTGTGATTATATAGGAAAATGCTGATGGAAACTTTAAGTTCCATTCAAAAGCTAAGTTTTTCTTAAGAATGTTAATGCCACACTTTAGAGTCTTAAGTCCTATATTTGTGATTCCTTCGTTTCACGTGTATGTCACAGTTCTCGGAACTCCTATAGCACTGAAAAGGCAATTTCATGTATCATAACAAAATATTGCCTTTATGCAAATCATTGCTTTTTTATATGTTAGAATTTCTACTTTCAACTATATAATCATTTCCTTGGGGTAAGAAGGCATTTAACATTTTCTGGGAAGGCCTATAGGAGTCATATGATTTTAAGGCAGACTCAAACAAACTGTCTATAGCACAAAGTATTATTTATTGCTCAACAAAATCTTTAGAATATTAAATTAATTGAACAAAGAGACCATTAGACTGAGGTGGCTCTAGTGCCTAGGTAAGCAAATCAAAATTTAAGACTTTAAATACCTCATGGAGAGGACCATCATGTATATAGTTCTAATAAAGTTCAACTTCCATATAAAAACAAAAAAAATAAATACCTCATGGATAGGAAAGTCAAACCCAAGGACAATCAGTTTCAAGTAGCCAGCCAGCTCTTAAGCTATACCCATCATTAATATCCCATATTGCATCTGTTTTTTCCTCTATAAAATTTTCCCCCCAGCTTCTAAGTCTTCTGGGTTGGTGCTGCCTGACTGGAATCAATTCATGCTCAAATAAATTCCTAAAATGTTAATATGCCTCAGCTTATCTTTTCACAAGAACAGTAACCTGGAGGTTAAAAAAATACTTTGATATTAATTTAAGCATTCTTAAAGGAAATCCTTCTATGGGAAACACAGAAAGCAAAACTTGTTTAGCCAAAAAATTCACCCAAATAAAAAAGTCCCACAATTTACCTCGATAGTAGGCCTTTGTTATTGCATCAAATTCCTCTTGACCTGCTGTATCCCATAACATTAGTCTGACATCTTCATCATTAACTCTGAAACAAGAGATGAATTTATTTCATATGTAAAGGAAATGTCTTTAGTAATACAGTTTGGGGTTCATTTTTTTTTTTCAAATCTGAAGGTATTAAAACTACATTGTTGGTTTCACTCTGCAAAGTCAATATTTTCAAATGTTGTTACCATTATCAATAATGAAAGTAAAAAATAAAAGACATTCCCTCCAAATGACAACTTTACTCATGGTTTAGATTTACTCATCATTCTTTTCCATCAACAAAACTCATAGTCAGTGGTGCTTCTAAGACTAGGAGAATTGGCAAAGGGGAATTCTCTTTGGTCAGTGCTTACTCTCCTTTCTCTACATGATTCTGGAGTACAAGAAACAGGATAAGTAAGAAAAGGAGCAACTTACCTGCTTGGCTGACCTGTAACTCAGAATTATACTCTATTTTTTGCATACAGTCCATTCTCTTTTAGTAGTTATGCTCTACAAAATCACTGCAAACACTGACTTAACAAATACTGAACTTTTGCTCCTAGAGGAAATACAGGGTTAGTTCCCACAAGCTCTTGGTTACATTTTTGGTTTTTGTGTGGCTCTTTTTAAACATGCCTTGTTTAATATATATTGTTAATTTATTAACAGTAAACTCACAGCCAAAAGCACTATAATTCATGCCTGAAAGGAGCTTTTACTTAACTCACATAGTTTTCTCTTTAAGGCACATCAGTTTTCTTGTACTTAGGATCACTAGGAAGTACTTCAGCGCTATCTTGAGGGCCATTTTCAACAGCAAAATCACCAACAAAAAGCACAAAAATAGAACACAAAAAGGACACTTATTTATAAAATGAGAGATGCAACAAGAAGGAAGAAGGCTGGCTTGTTCCACCTCAGCAGAGAATAAACTTGTAGGGCAACTCTAATTTTTGCTGCTCTCTGTGTGTGTCCAAAGAGTGACAACCTCAATACTGAGAATACTGATTCTGGAGTTACACATAAATGTTATCCAAGTTCAGTGAATTTGCAACCATGGAAACTACTAATAATGAGAATCAACTGTATACTTGAAATACAAATATGGAATGTATGAGTAATAACAATATTACTTAAAATACCTACTTGGTTCAGATAACAAGTATAAAATATAAAATATTATCAAGACTTAAAATGAATCCTCTTAAAACATGTCATAAGAAAGGAAACAACCACAGAAGTATTTTTTTTTTTAAAGTAAGGTAACAATATAAGTTAGAAATTCAACAATCTGTAAAATAACACATTATAATGTCTGGGTTAATTAAGTCAGATTTGTTTATTGTTAGTTCTGTAATACACTTTAATTTGTCTTGTATAATTTAAAATAGCCCTAAGAGTTCTTAGGACTTATGACAAAAACTTAGTGTGTCACTTTGATGTGTTTAGAAATCCAGCTGGATTTCCTGACATGATTTCTTTTTCATGAGTATTTAATCCTCCTAAATCTGCTTTCTCTTATTTCTTTAAATAAAAAAAAATGATTAATTCTCAAACTTCTATATAGTCTTGCTCAGTCTAAAAAAAAACTGAAACATTCTAAACAAAAGCATACCGTCATATAAATGATAAAAACTTCTGAGAGACAGGTAACTTTCCTTCCAAATAAAACAGTGGGCAAGAATCTCATTAGAGTCAAACATTCGTTTGTGTTTTAGAAGTACCCAAGGTGCCACCAATCAATACAAACAATAGAAAGTGAGGAAGGAAGAGTAAGATAAAAAGAAAAATCTGAGAGGAAGAAAAGAGATGAAATGAGGCACAAAGAGAGGGATAAAGATACATGTACAAAAGAGTGATTGAAAACCACCACCAACCATCTCAGGAGCCATGGTCACTAGATGCCTAACCTTGTGTAGCACTATAATTAGCTACTATTTTTCCAATGGAAGTCTTCGACACAGTTCACAAGTTAAAACTGAGAAGATAAAATGATCAAGTACATACTGGATTTGTCGCTCCAAAAAATCAACTCCAATGGTTTTCTTATAGTCTTTTGTAAAAATGCCTTTGCAGTATCGCTGAATCATACTTGATTTTCCAACTGCTCCATTCCCTACAACCACCATCTTGATGGCCACTTCCATATCTTCCTCCAACATTTTTAGAGCTGAGATTTCTGCACCAACTTTAATTCCAGATGATCAGATCGTCTCTCTCAAATCTGCAGTTTAAAATGAAAGTATTTCTTTATGACAAAAAAAACTGGACAAAATTTTTAAGAGTATAATTATCACAAAATAATTATTCTGCATTACAAGAATTTATTTTACAGAGGCCACCTCCTGACCCCGTTTAGATAACGTAAATTCTTTGAAAGGAGGGACAAACTTCATTCATTTTTGAATTCTTATACAACCACAAAAAATCCTAGATTATATAGTACTTCTTTCCATAAAGAATAAAGACTACGGGTTACAGGTACTAAAATCTGATTTAAAGTCACCGTTTACTAATTCTGTGTTTTCAGTGAAGTTACTGCTTCACAATTCTTCAAGTTTCAGTTTCTCATAGGATTGTTGATTAATAAATAAATACATAAAGCACTTGGCATAAAGAAAAAATTAAGTATTTAAAAAATGGTAGTTTTATTCAACATAACAAATCCTCCATAGTTACCACCAAATGGGCAATACACACAAAATCTAAGGAAACTGACTTTCCACCTCACAGGTTAAGAAGTAATGTCTCTTGAAAGGCACTCCAAAGATTATAATATTTGTTTAATAATGTACAGATGTGCCAGCACTGGGCTCTTGGCTACAGTGCTTTGCTGCTCAGGTTATAATGAATCCTCTATAAATAACCTTATACCAAGCGTTCTTCTTTCTTTAACTTCAGACTTGTTATAGCTTTTCATGTAATGAAGGTAAGAGAATATGTACCTTACATTTTAGACTGCGAATAGAAAGTCACCTCCTTCATATTTCTTCTTAAAATCACTAGTTATGTTCTCATCTAGTTAGTTATATTCTGCTACCACAACTGAAATCCCTCTATTAGATGGATTAAATAAAAACAAACAATTAAAATGTGCTATTCTTGTCCCTAATTCCTTTCTTTGTCCTTAATTAAGTCTCACTATTTCTCCCTACTGCTTCACACACTTGCATGATCATAAGAATAATCCAGGAGCACTTTTTAAAGTGTAGGTTTCGCATGTCCACTTAAGACATTAATTGAATGTTTTTCAAAAACAACCAGCCTGGAATATCATAATTAACAAAAGAACATGGTAAGAACAAAAATATGGGTAGTCAATTTCCCTTCTCTTCTGGTCTTCTAAAAATGTTTCACAGTTGAAACAAAAATTATAACATTGTCCAATGTGGTTTTCAATATTTGTAAAGAAGATATATAAGGGAAGTGATTATAAGTGGGAGAGGATAATTATATGTGGGATATAAAGGGAAGTAAGGTTTCTATACTTCACTTGAGCTGGTTGGCACCAATGTTGGCACCAATAGGCTTATAAATTGCATACATATATATTTAGTTATAACAGAGCAACCACTAAAGAAATTACATATAGAGATGTGCGGAAAAACACTATAGATAAAACAAAATGAAATTCCAAAAGCAATAAATCTATCAAATCTAATCAACATTTATAGAACTGGCCATACAACAGCAGAATATACATCTCTTCAAGGAGTCATTGATCCTATACCAAAATAGAACATATTCCAGACAATTAAAAAAAAAAAACAAAAAAACAACCAACTCTCAACAAAGTTAAAATAATGGGACCACAGTGCAACAACTAGAAATCAGTAACAAAAAATTGACAGGAAAATCCCCAAAACATTTTAAAACTAAAAACACACATTTCTCTAAACAATCCATGGGCCAAAAAAGTTCAAGAGAAATTTCTTTCAATTATCAAATTGAATGAAAATGAGTATTAAAGTTGATGGGACAAGCTAATGAGAGGGAAAATTTACAGCACTAAATACTCACCTTAAAATGAACGAAAGTCTCAAATCAATAATCTAAGTTGCTCAAGAAACTAGATGAAGAGCAAAATAACCTCAAAGCAAACAAAAGTAAATAATAAAAATAAAAGCAGAAATCAATGAAACTGAAAATAGAGAAGATAAAGAAACAGAAAGCTAATGTTTTGAAAAAAATCAATAAAATTGACAGAGGAAAAAAAGAAGACAGAAAATTACCACTAAGAAATGAAATAGGGGTATCACTAGAGACTCTGCAGACCCAAAAATAAAAACAACAATTCCACACACATATATTTGGGAATTTAAATGAAGGGGCTAATTCCTTAAAGTATAAACAATCACAACTCATCCAATTTGAGATAATTTAAATAGGCCTTTAACTATTAAGGAAATTGAATTTATAACTTAAAAATCCAAAAAGAAATCTCTAGGCTCATGTGGTTTTACTGGACAGTTCTACCAAACAATTCTTCCAAAATCATTTTCAAGGATTAACACCAATGATACATAATCTCTTCTAGAATATATAAAAGGAGGAAACACCCTGCAACTTTTATTTTATAAAACTAGCATTATCTTGATACCAAAACCACATATAGTACAAAAAAGAAAAGTGGACAAAGTATCCCCTCATGCAAAAATCCTCAACAAAATATTAGTAAATCTAGTCCAGCAATATATTAAAATAAACAATCAAGTGGGCTTTATTCTGGGAATGGAAGGCAGGTTCAATATTCAAAAATCAGTCAACATGGGCCTCCCTGGTGGCGCAGTGGTTGAGCCCTGGGCTGTGAAGCTACCCGCAGCCTCTGCAGCACCGGTTCGGTTCGTTCCCCGGCTGCCGGTGAGGGTCCCACATGGCGCGCTCTCCTGCCGCCCGCTGCTCCCATCAGCAGTGTATTTCGTAGGTCTATCTGTTCTGCTCCCTGCTCTGGCTCTGGTGAATTCTCTCACCCTCCCGCACTTCTGACTGTACCCAATGCTTGTATAAATAAATAAATAAATCTTATTAAAAAAAAGGCATAAAAAAATCAGTAAACATAATCAGAGAAAAAGTACATTATCACATCAATTGATACAGAGGAAATATTTGGCAAAATTTAAAATATATTTGTGAGAAAACACGCAGCAAACTAGATAAAGAAAAGGATATCTGCAACCTAATAAAGGGTTTCTATTAAAAAACCCTATCATTAACATTATCCTTAATCTGAAGAATGATTGCTTTTCCCCCTAAAATGGAGAACAAGGTAAAGCTGTCCCTTTCACTACACCTATTCATTACATACAAAGTCCTTGCCAAAGTAACAGGCAACAAAAATAAATAAAATGCTTATAAATTAGCAGAAAAAGAAAAAAAAAAACACCTCTATTTACAGATGGCATGATTGTACATATAGGAAATTCCGAGGGATAATTTTTAAAAAATTTCCTGGAGCCAGTAAGTTTAGCAAGTTCATAAGATACTTGTTGTGTAGCACACAACACTTGATAGTATTATTATATAGTAACAATGGACAATTTGAGACCAATACATTTTCAATTAACATTTACAATAGTTTCCAAAATTTTAAATACTTTGGCATAAGTCTAACAAAATACATACAACATTTGTATACTGAAAAATATAAAATGTTAATGAAATAAAGACCAAAGTGGATGGACATATCACGTTCATGACTGGGAGACTCAACAAAGTAAAAATAGCAATTCTTCTCAAATTGATCTATGTTTTAATGCCAATTCCAAAGTATAGGCAGGATATTCTTTAGAAACAAGCTGATTGTAAGTAATATATAGAAAGGAAAAGCCTTTTTCAAAAAGCAATATTAAAAAAGAATGAAAATGGAGGAAATCACACTATCCAACATTAAGACACCATGAAACTACATTAATCAAGAAAGTGTGACTGGCTAAGAGAAAGATACATAAATCAATGGGACAGCACAGAAGGCCCAAAAATAGACCCACGCAAATACAGCCAATTGATTTTTGACAAAGGTGCAAAAACAGTTCAGTGGGCTAAAGAGAGTATTTTCCACAAGTGGTGATGAAACAACTGGACTTTCATATACAAAAAAAAGAGTTGCTTTTCACCTAAACTTGCACCTGATACAAATAATTTAAAATGGATCATAGATCTAAATGGCAAATTAAAATTTTTAGAAGAAAACATTTATTCTCAACCTGACATTAGGAAATGTTCTTAAAGATGATCCATAAAAGACTCATAAAAGAAAGATATGATAAATTAAGACTTTGTCGAAATTAAAAACGGTTGCTCCCAGAAAGACAGTGCTAAAAGAACAGAGACAAGCCACATTGTGAGAAAATATTTGCATGACACCTACCTATCCCACACTTGTATACACAACACATAAAGAACCTTCAAAACTCCAAATTGAAAAAAACAAACAATCCAACTTTAAAATGGGCAAAAGTCCTGGCCAGATACTTCAAAGATTATGCCAAATAAACATAAAAACGTACTCACTTAGCCATTAGCTAAAGGCACATTAAAGCTACAATAAAATACCACTACATACCTATCAGAATGGTTATATTAAAAAATACGAGATACCAAGTGCTAGAGAGGATGTGGAACAACTGGTACTTTCACAGGTTGCTTGTGAGAAATGCAAAAAAGATACAGCCAATCTGGAAAACAAAGTGACAGTTTCTTATAAATTAAACATTTCCTGTATCCACACAATCCCACTAGTAGCAATACCCTAAGAAACGAAAACTTAGGTTCACAGCGCTATTCAGCTACCAAAAAAGGAAACAATACAAATGTTTTTTGAATGGATGGATGGATAAACAAACTGAGGCACATTATCTAATGAACTACTCAGCAATTAAAAAAAAAAAAAACATACATGCAACAACTTGGAGGAATCTCAAAGACACTGTGCTGACTGAAAGAAGTCAGCATCAAAGGTTACATGATTCCATTTATATGACATACTGAAAAATATCAACAATTGCCCGGAGTTAGGGAAAGGAAGGGTAAGTTTATAAAAGGATAGCATAAATTTTGGATCAGTTCTCTATCCCATCATGTGGCAACACGGATCTAAAATTCATAGAAATCCACATTCCCCCCCCCAAAAAAAGTAAATTCCACCATAATTTTAAAAATAGTAAAATTTAAAGAAAAAAGTATAATGAGATGAACACGCTTGTGATTATCAGCCACTATTACTCTATCAAATTAAATCACTATGTCAAAAGAATTCAGTTCTTAGAAAATAAGCATAATTTGAGCACACTATTACAAAATTGTGACAGTAATGCTTTCCATAAACACACTTTCCCTCGAATTAATTTCATAGATTTTGACAAGCAACAGAGTCTAGTAAATCCGCAAAGGAAATGATGACCTAACTCCCTGATCAAAAAATCGTTGTTTTTCCTAACAGCCTGTCCATAACTACAGGTATTATTGATAAAAACGCAGACTGAACGATGCCACCCACAAGATGTTAAGAGCCACCCAGGACCAGAGCAGGACGGAGCCCTTTCCAGGCTCCACAGCTGCTTGGCGGTGAAGTTCCTATTCTGTCACACACCCTCCAGCTCTGCTGCCTGAGCGCTGAGGAGGGCTCCTCGGGTCTCCCGAGGAAAGGAATTCCGTGGCAGCCAGTGTCAACGAAACTGCAGTCTGGCTCATTCATATTCCAGCCGCCTCAGAGCGCAAGTCCAGGGACGGGTGGGGCTGGAGGTGAGGAGAGGGTCGGACATCAGGGGGTACGGGCGTGGGGGTCTCCAAGCCAGAGGCGAGCTTGGGACTCTCCCCCCCCCTTAACGCCCCCGCTAGTGTCTCCCACCGCCCGAGCAGCCCCTTCCCTCCGGGGGTGCTGGGGGGGGCGCAAGGAGCCGAGCGGCCGGCCGGGCGGGAGCAGCGGCAGCGGCAGCAGCGCCCCGACCTACTTCCAGCGCGCCGCTCCCGCCCACAGGGCAGCTCCACGGACCCACACCCAGGGAGCCGCGCCGCCGGGGGCTGCGGGGAGGGGGCGCCGGGCGGGGCAGCCGCCCCCCTCCCGCGATCGGAACTTGGGCTCCGCGCTCCGGGGCGCGGGAGGGGCGCCCGGCGGCCCGAGCCGGGAGAAGGGAAGCCGGGCCTGGAGGCCCCAGCCCCCGACCCCTCCCCAGCCTCGGGAGAGAGCGCATCCCGGGACGCGGAGCACGGGCGGGTCCTCCCCCGGGGGAGCGGAGGCGCCCTCAGCGCCCTCAGAGCCCTCAGCGCCCTCAGCGCGGCGAGGGGGAGCGAGCGCGGCCCCGCACCCCGGCGCGCCCGCCGCTACTCACCTTCCCCCGCCCGCGCCGACCCGCCGCCCGGCGGACCCGCTCGTCCTGGTCGCGGCGCAACCGCTGCCGCCGCCGCCTCCCGGCGCGCCCGCTCGCCCGGTGGGACCGCCCGGCTGGATCGCGCCCTCTTTTGCTCTGTTAAGAATGACTACGATTTTTTAACGAACTTTATTGGCAGTCAGGGCTGAGAACAAGCGGCTCAGCAGCCGCTCCGCCGGGGGTGGCGGGGCGCGGGAGACGCGACGCCCCTCAGCTGTGGACCCGCCGCGCTGCGGCGCATGCGCCGGCCGCGGCCTGGCTGCGCATGCGCCGCGCGGCCCGGCTCCCCCGCCCCGCGGCTCCCGGGTCTGGCCCGGCGCGGAGAGGGCGGCTGCTCTGCCTTCGCGGGGCCGCGGGGGAGCCCCGTGCGCGGTGGGGAGGCTGGAAAGATAAACTGACCGGAGAAAGTCCGCTGAAGTTTCGCCTAAACAGGGATTAGACTTCCAGAGAATTCAAAGGACCCCCCCCCCTCAACCCCCCGCGCCGGACTGGGTGACACCCGTCTGCTGAGTGAGCAAAAATGTCGAGCAAAGTCGACTCACAGCCCACTGTGGGCAAAGTAGAAGCCTCAGATGGTTAATAATTCAGAGGGCCAAACTAGAAACTAAAGGGTTCTCAATGAAAGCAATAAAAGGGTTCCTTCGGTTGTTTTTAAATTTCAAATAGAATAGAGGAAAAAAGATGGAAAATATCGAGTTAGTGAGGATGCGGAGTAACTGTATTCTACTTTGCTGCTGGAACATCAACTACAATGACTGCTTTTAAAAGAATAGAGGAAGAAAGATGGAAAATATCGAGTTAGTGAGGATGCAGAGTAAGTGTATTCTACCTTGTGGCTGGAACATCAAGTACAATAACTGCTTTTAAAAGAATAGAGGATAGCGGAAAAAAGATGGAAAATATCAAGTTAGTGACGATGCACAGTAACTATTCTACCTTGCTGCTGGAACATCAACTACAATGACTGCTTTTAAAAGAACAGAGGAAGAAAGATGGAAAATATCAAGTTAGTGAGGATGCACAGTAACTATTCTACCTTGCTGCTGGGACATCAACTACAATGACTGCTTTTAAAAGAACAGAGGAAGAAAGATGGAAAATATCAAGTTAGTGAGGATGCACAGTAACTGTATTCTACCTTGCTGCTGGAACATCAACTACAATGACTGCTTTTAAAAACAGTTTGGCACTATCTACTAAAGGAGCATACCCCATGACCCAGCTGTTCCCTCCTTATCTGCAGCCAAGAGAAATTCCTATTTACTGCGCACCAACAAAGAGATATGCATTTGTCTTAGTATGTCTCCCAAATGGAAGTAACGCAAAAGGCTATCAAATAAATTCACAGTCTTCATATAATGGAAGACTCGTCAGCTGTGTGACAGTAGTCAGCAAACACAGGTAACAACATGGATTAACTACAGAACCGTTAAGTTGAACGTAAAAAGACAGGAAAGTACTTACTGAGTAATTCAATTTCTATAAAACCCCCAAGCAAGGAAAGTAATCTGCTAACAGTTAAGATAATAGTTACTTTGGAAGAGGATAATGGCTGGGAGAAGGGTTTCCATGGTGCTTAATAAGGTTGTTCTAGAGCTAGTTAACACGTGTGTCCATTTGTGAAAACTCACCAAACTCCCCTTACGTACATTTTTCGGTACAACTGTATGTGAATTACGTTTCACATACAATGTTTTTAATTAAAAATTTTTATTTAAATATTTACAACTTTATCTGTAATAGCGATAGTTTTGTAGATGTAAACAATGATTATTTAATATCAGATAGCCAATGCATTATTTAATGTCGGAGTCAATGGATTTATCTCTAGCATTTGATTGGTAGTGTCTCTTAAACTTTGATAGTCATGTGTCACTTAACGATGGGGATACATTGTGAGAAATGTGCCATTCGGAAATTTTAATTTTGTCATTGTGCAAACATCATAGGGTGTAATTACATAAACTTAGATAGTTCAATCTACTACACATCTTGGCTATAATTATGGTAAAACCTAATCGGACCACTGTCATATTTGCAGTCAATGGCGGGGTTGTTAAATCACACATGGCTATAACTCTGATTAAGAAATGGGAAATACTTGAATAGACATGTCTTCAAAGATCTACAAATAATAAGTACCTGAAAAGGGGCTCAATATCATTAATCATTAGGGAAATCCAAGTCATAAAACAAACAGAAAATAACAAATGTTAGCAAAGATTTGAGAAATGCTAAACCTTATGTGCTGTTGGTAAGAATGTAAAATGATGCAGCCACTATGGAAAGATTTGACAGTTCCACATAAGATTAGAAATGGAATTACCACATGATCAAACTATTCCACGCTGGGCATATGCTTTAAAGAATTGAATTCAAGGATTCAAACAGATATTCATGCAATGGTTGCATAGCAATATTATTTAAAAAAACAAAAACTGGGGGCCTCCCTGGTGACCCAGGGGGTTAGGCTTAGCACTGAGAAGCTGTCCGCAGCCTATGCAGCACAAGTTTGATCCCCAGCCGGCCAGGGAGCTACCCACATGGTGCAGTAGACCTCTCCTGTCTCTCCCACTCCTCCCCTCAACAGTGTATTTCAGTCACTCTGCTTGCTCTGTTCCCTGCTCAGTCTCTAGTGAATCCTCTCATTCCCTGCACGTCTGGCCTGTACCCCAGTTCTTGTATGCATAAATAAATAAATCTTTCAAAAAAAAAACAAAAAAACCCCCAAAAAACTGTTCATCCACACATGAATTGATAACCAAGTCATATATAACTAAAATGAATATTATTCAGCCTTAGAAAGGAAATTCTAACACATGCCACCGTGTGGAAGAACCTTGAAAATAGTGTGTTGAGTGAAAAACTAGTTATTAAAGGGAACTCACTGGTGGTGCAAGGGGTTAAGCAAAGCATTGTGAAGCTATCTGCAGCACAAGTTCGATCCTCTGCCAACCAGGGAGTTACCCACATGGCACAGCAGACCTCTCCTGTCTTGCCTACTGCTCCCCTCAGCAGTGTGTTTCAGTCAGGCTGCCTGTTCTGTTCCCCGCTTTGTCTCTGGTGAGTCCTCAACAAACACACATACCCTCTCCCCCGGCACCTCTGCCCTGTACCCCAGTTCTTGGATGCATAAATAAATAAATCTTTTTTTTTTTAAAAAAGCTAGCCACTAAAGTACAAATACTGTATGATTCCACTTATATAGGATACTGACAGTAGTCCAATTCTTACAGACACAAAGTAGAATGGTGGTTGCCAGAGGCAGAGGAAATAATGGGAAATTAGTGTTTAATGGGAGTTAGAGTTTCAGTTTTACAAGAGAAAAAAGTTCTGGGTTTGCATGGTGATGATGTTACACAAGAATGGAATGTTCTTCTACCCCTGAAATGTGCACTTAAAAATGCTCCAAATGATGAATTTTATGTTAAGTATATTTTATTACTAATTTTTATTGGAAAAAACCCCCCAGAGTCTCAGATAATAAATCTAGAGATTCAAATTTGAAAAAAACTTCTTGAAGGTGGTATTTCCCAAATAATTTCTTTCCCCTCACCTCTTTCCATTTCCTTGGGATTGTTGGAGCAATTAAAATCACCTTTTATTTGACTCAAGGTAGTACCCTGGGACTCAGAGAGGTAATTAATGAAAGCCTACATGGAAACCTGGCTGTAGGGTAGGGTAAAAGTATCAGGCTTTTCTGCCCTCCTGCAATTAGGATAGATGACAGAACCCTGTGGTCCTGAATGCATGCCTGATGGCAGCACCTGGAATAGGGTGTGGGCATATGTAGATGGGATTCACCTGAGCTAAGACTGGGCTTTTTAAGGGCAGCGTCACTGGGACTCCAGCAGAAGCCAAGAGAAGCAGAGAGAATGCCAGAGAACACTGGAGAGCCCAGAAAGAGTGAAGACTGGTTGGGGGCTGCCAGCCTTCCAGACCCCCACCACCCCTGCCTGCTGTGTACCTGGTAAATCCCAATGAAAGCCTGCAAAACCCACTGAGGGCTCCAGGACTCTCTCCTCCTTTACCCAGTCTGCTGGATCAGAAAATCTACCCTGTGTCCTTCCTGCCCTCTACACTGGCCTTTTAAATCCTGCACTTGTGTTGTAGCAAAAATAACAATAGGGGGCCTCCCCTGTGGTGCAGCGGGTTGAGCGCAATGCTGTGAAGCTGTCCTCAGCCTCTGCAGCGCAGGTTCGATTCCCTGCCAGCCAGGGAGATACACACATGGCACGGCTGACCTCCCGTCTCACCCGCTGCTCCCTTCAGCAGTGTTTTCGGTCCGTCTGCCAGTTCTGCTCCCTGCTCTGTCTTTGGTGAATTCTCTCACCCTCTTGTGCCTCTAGCCTTTACCCTGGTTCTTAAATAAATAAATAAATCTTAAAAAAAAAAAAAAGAAAGAAAGAAAGAAAGAAAAAATATCAATAGGGTAAGCCTGAAGGGTTTTGGAAGAAATTTTATCTGTCCAGAAATGAGTATCACAAAATTGTTTTAGGGGAAACAGTCTGAAATTATATATATATACACACACAAAAACTGGGGTCCAGGCCAGAGGTACAGAGAATGAGAAGATTTGCCAGAGAGCAGAACTGGCAGATCTACTGAAATATACTGCTGAGGGAAGCAGCCCTGGCTGGGGATTGAACTTGTGCTGCAGTGGCTGTGCATAGCATCATAGTATTGAGACTTAATGACTTGCACCACCAGGGAGGCCCGCTGCTCCCCTCAGCAGTGTACTTCATCAGTCTGCCTGTTCTGCTCCCTGCTTTGGCTCTGGTGAATTCTCTCACCCTCCCGCGCTTCTGACTGTACCCAGTACTTGTATAAATAAATAAATAAATCTTTAAAAAAAAAAGAGAGAGAGAGAGAGATTGACCCTTAACTTCTCTTATGTTTTTCACGTATTTATTCTTATGGGTACATTATGTGTAATGACTCATCTTCCAGCTTACTAATTTCCTATCCAACTATTGTTCACTGAGTTTATAACCGCAATGTCTATCGTTTTAAAATCTC